TTGTTACGTTTTGTAATAAAAGGGCAGAATCTATCGCTGAAGTGTTGACAATATTATAGCAGTCATGCTGCTGATGTACCAAGGAACAAAGCCAGTCACTGAACAAACACTATCTTCAAGGGAAATTGCTGCTTACGTGCATGACTGAGAATATTTTAAATTATTTTAGATTACGCCATGAGTGAAGATTATTGCAGAAGATTAACAATCATTTAGCAGTAAAATTAGAAGACACTTTATTTGGACAAGCAGTCAATTATAATTGTTAGACACACAGACTTGAGAAGGAGCTAGGAGTGCCTGTCACAAAGTAAGCTATAATTTTATTGCAACTTTTAGTTGTCTACTTTTTAACAATGACAATACACAAGGTGACTACAAACTCCTGATACTATGGTGCAGAATCAATGCTCCATAGGCTGCAAATTTTGGAGACTGGGAGACAGAAATGACAGAAACGCAAAATTGTATACACTAAAGTTTTAACTCCACAGCTTTCATTATTTGGTCCTTGCAGGTTTTCCGGCCAGGAAACAACCTGATTGACTAATTTAGTTTCATGATTGACATGGAGCCATTTGGAGATATCATGAATGTTCAATGTACAACTCCAGCGTGGAGTGTCTGATCCTGGGATCATTTGTTGAAAACGGAGGAAATCTAGTCTTTTTCATAACATGCACACCACAATTTTCCATAGCCCTACAAGTATGGTTTAAACAAGGTTCATTGCATGAAAGCATGACTTTTTGCTTTTTAATTCCATCCTTCTGGAAGTCATCTTCAGTGTTTCAATTATATCCTTCTGGATTAACTTTTACAGTTAATTTCTTTATTTTAATCAGATCAGTGCTGTTCCTCCTCAACAACATTGCTTAGCAGCTAGGGTAAAGCATTTAATATCTCGCTGAAATTGTCCCCTCTTTGCTTTAGTTGCTGGCTTTACTAAGGCCTAGGACATGCAGTCACTCATTATAAGCCTTTCCAACCATGTCATACCTGGAGATTTCCTATCTATTTTTACACATTCTTAAAATCCTGAAATTGCTGGGTTGGAGTTAGGAATTAGGATTTTAGAATTTGCGCCATCACATATTCTGTCCCCACCCTATCTGACCCACATGCTTGTGTGTACCAAAACTCCCCTCATAGGGTCTATAGCACAGAATCTACTCAATTAGCCCAGCAATTATGCTCCCTGCAAGCCTTTTTCAACTTTTTGATATCTAACCCTGTCAAGATAGCCTTCTTCCTTGTACTTATACAGTTTTTCCTTCGATACATCTAAATACTTGTGGCAGTTTTCCTGTTTTGTACTCATTCTTTGAATTCCTGAGTTTTGTGTTTGATTTATTAGTAATTCTCTGTTGATGCCCTTTTGTTTCAGCTTATAGTGGATTCAAAAACATTATCTGAATGTCTACTCCATTTGCACCCCTTAATCATTTTTGAAGACTTTATCAGGTCATATTGCAACTCTCACTTTTCTGGAGAATAGCCTTTAGCCTGTTCAATCTTTCCCAATCGGTAGAACCTCTGTGTTTTGGTATCATCCTTGCCAATATTTTTTGCACCCTCTCTAAAACGTCTTATCCTTTTCATAATATGCAGACCAGACTTGTGCATAGTCCTATACTAATAATTTAAATAGGTTCTGAACAAGTTTCATGAATGTCTTACTTTTCAATTCCATCCCTCTAGAAGTAAACCCCAATTTTTAGTTTGATCCTTTTAAAAATAACTTTTTAAAATCTGCTTCACCACCTTGAGACTTATCTGTCTCCAAAGATATCTTTGCTCTTCTACCCATTTACTTTTATTAACCAAGTTTTAAAAGGTCTCTTTGTTCTTCCTACCAAAATGGACCACCTCACTCTTATCTATATTGAAATTTGTTTACTAATTAAGCACTTGTTTTGCGAGTTATTCTGAATTTTGCACAATATTCCTCTGTACTAACTGCATCCTCCAAATTGGTGTTATCCACAAATTTATAGAATATATTTTTGTTTTCCCAAGTCCATTCATCTAGATTGTTCACAACAGTGGTTCCAGTGTCAATCTGTATGGAGCACAACTTCCTAATTTGTCTTGAGTCACTGCCATTAATCGTTGGAATGAAATTAAAATACTGCAGATGCTGAAAATCTGAAACATACAGAAAGCTGGACAAACTCAGCAGGTCTGGAGAGAGAAACAGAGTTAACATTTTGAGTCTGATATGACTCTTCTTCATCTGACAAATGCATATAGGTATTTGTGAATATCCAAATATATTTTATCTATATTTTACTTGCCTACTCTTTCAAAGAATTCAATAAGTGGTTATGTGTGATATTTCCTTTTGAAATATGTGCTGACTACTCCCTCTATTTTTGATTTTTAATGATCAAAATGTGATAACTTCTAGAAACAGATAATCAATATGTGGAACAAATGCAATGCCATTTCTTTTGATGCAGACAGTATGCAAATTTCACTTTGCCTGCTAATTTAAATAACTGCAGCATGTTACCAGGGCTGACTGTACAGCTGAGTGACTGCATGTCAAAGCAGGGGAAGCAGAATTATGAAAGGTCCAATGTGAGTTAAAGCTAACCTGTACCTCTTGGAAGGGGTGATGCGTTCTGGCTGCAACAAATGCTGGAACTCACTCTAGAACTGATTCTGACTTGGAAAAGACAAAACAATGGCAAAGAAAGGTGGGGTTGCGGGGATGGGGGGGTGGGGGGGCGGGGAGGGCGGATGTTCGTAGGGTGATCAAGTTACAATATGTTCCAATCATGCATTGGAGGCCTTAGTGCTTTACTTAGAAAGGAAGACAGATAACACCTATATACCTGGTGCCTGAATGACCACCAGGCAGACTGGGAATGCAGTGGGACTAGATGGCCATGGCAATCAATATCAGAATTTTTTCCCTGAGGGCCTGCAATGCTGAATAAAAGTTTAATTACCTCACACAACTGGCCAGAAAATCTTCAGTATCTTGTATGAAATGTCCTCCTAGTCTCACACTCTGCTCAATGTATTAATTCTTTCTATCACTCATCCTGAAAGCCTGTGGTCAACATCAAGGAGTACAGAGGAGTCAGCATCAGTTTGGCAAAGGACTTTGCACAGATCTTGAAATTCACCCCTTTCAGTGTAGAACTGGTGGTCATCTCCATCACTAAGTGTAACAGAAGCCATGAAACACGTAGGTGCTGCAGTAGAAGCTTAGACTGAAATCAGACAAGTTATGTTTGCTGTCATTATGCATGCTGAGACTCCTGTAATGAAATCTGTGCATACCAGTCTTCAAAGAGATTCACAGGGTCTGATTGCAGTCCACTAACCTACAATTCAAGGCACGGAGACTGAGACTGCCCAGGAGTATCAGTGTCTCCCTGGAGCCGTAACCTGTTGTCTTCATTCAGGATAATAGCATTCACCACTGCCACTCTACCAATGCCCTTGCTTTGCCCATCAGGCCAGAATGCTGCTCTTCATGATGAGACATTGTAGTCTGAAAATAGGCCTTCTAAGTCCAGAGCTGCTTGGGATCAACCTGCAAGGTCATCCGCAGTCAGCCCGACTGAAAGTCAGCAACTTTCTACCAGCCATGCCACAGCCCAACAACAGACAGAGGCACAGAAAGGACAGCTGCTAAGGGAATGCACTTTGGTATAATTTGATTTATCAATTTGGTTTGGGATACTTATTTTTGTAATGGCTTTCATTTCTGCATTGTGGCTAAGTGAATGATACGAAGGTCAGTAATGTAGATAGGGAAATGTTTGGGACTGTTGGTGAATGGGCAATTAGAGTTCTGTTAAATGGTTTCACAGTCAAATGAGTTGATCAGGGACAGCTCAAGCAGAAAGATGCTGTGTTGGTGTACAAGTGAGGATGTACACTGTGTACAAGGTTAAGGAAGGAATTAATTGCAGTGTTAAGCTGAAAAATGGTTGTGCTGACACCAGATCAATGTTGCTTGGCCTTAGCAAAATGTTATCTGCTGTGGGTAATATCAGCAGTGTGTCTGCATGCTGTAGGCACCATTTTGAAGGAACAATGTCGCTAGAGTATGAAGAACTGAACACTCTGGAATTAATGTTTTCTATAGTTAATTAATCTATAGTTCAGTGGACTTGTTCTAACTCTTTACAAAAATACAGGAACAGCATTAGCTGTCCTTTAGCACTATTCTGTTCCCTAATGAAGACTTACGTATGTGAAAGATCTTTAAATTGGAAACAGAATATTACAGAACTGAAACAGTTTACTTCATCTATCTTGTTTGTGCCAATGTTTTTCTCCACAGGAATTCCTCTCTTGTTTGCTCACTGTTTAGAAATTCTTTTCTTCAGACGTTACTTCTCTTTTTAAAAAGGAAGTTACAGATCCTCTTTCAGCTATTTTCCAATCAAGTGTGTAAAGGCACATTTTTAATCTCTAACTTTTTTTGATTAAATTCGTGCTTGATTATGATTGTTTCACTAACCACTGGGAGTAATTTATTGCTATGTACTAAATTGTAACCCTTTGCAATCTTTAAAAATAACGGTCATCCTTTGATTCTTTTTGAGAGAAAGCTCATGTTCTTTGTGTCAATTCATATAGCATTATTTCTCTTTTGTATTAATATCCTTCCATCAGATTATTTTTCTGCTCTACAAAACAATATCATACACTTTAGCATGAGTGAAATTATAAGTTTGTGCTCCTTTAAGACTGGAAAAGCAAATTACTGTGAAGTAAACACTTCAAAGTCATATGAACATCAAACAAGACTTGACAGATCATTCTTGGGTAATTCCATTATATTTTTCTTTGATGTGGTGTAAATAAATCTGACACATGAGATGTGTGCAATGCACACTGATTTTATCGTGTGACTGACAAATCTTCCAGTGTGCTGCTATAGATGTTATAGGTAATGCTATTTTATAATAGTGTGTCATTACTACATAATAAACAAGGTAGTAATCAATTGAATTATTTTATTGTGGCTTAAGTCAAATTCTGTTTTCATTACACTGTATCCTGAAATTTTTGCAATCATTGTTTTGGAGATTTATTTGAGTTATGAAATTCAATCTGTGAATTCATAAATCAACAGTATTACTGCAATCTGTTTCCTTACACAGTTATTTTCTTATCTTTTGCCTTCAAAGAAGTCTGGGATAAATGTAGAAATAGTAGGCAACATGTAGCAAGCATGCTTTTGGGAAGGGGAAATTGTCATTTCCAGCACTTATGAAGCTTGTAGCGTTTTGGTGAATTTGAGGGATGTTGTTAGGTATGGAACACTGCAGAGGATGCTGCACCGGAACAGCTAGGAAGGATGGCCTTCTAGTTTTTACTAACAGCTTGATGTGTGAACTTTGGCAACACACATATAAACGGTAAAGTCACCACAGTCCTAATCTCTCGTTAGAGAGAGACAACTGATGGTTTATCTGAGGGTCACCAGACTTCAGGTAAGGGTAGAGGTTGAGAAGGAGTGGACTTCATGGTAACGTGTGGGAATTGAACCCATGCTGTTGGAATCACTGTGCGTTGCAAATTAGCTATCCAGCCAACAGAGCTAACTGACTCTGTTTAACATGTAAAGTATTGTTGTCCATCAATGGGGATGCAGAGAACTCAGTGTATGGCATCACTGAGCGATGGATGGGTAACAGGATGAAGTCAATAGAGAAATGACCAGAACAATCCTGGATATTTAATTTCCAATTATTATCCCCAGACTACTATTTCATGCTACCCCTCCAAACTTGCTGAACCTCAAGTCTGAACTGTCTGCTTTGGTCTCTTCCTCAAAGCTGCACTCTTTAATACAAGATCTGCTGTTGCTGTGATTACTGTTTGTCCATCAACACACATTTTTCCAACATGACATGTGCGGTTAGAGAACTGAAGGAGGATATTTGCCCCATCATGTCTTTGACAGAGCAATCCATTAGCAACTCAGTCAATCCTAAAATCATCATTTGCTCCATAGCCTGTGTTTATTTGACTTTTTAGGCGTTTATCCAATTCTTAAAATGATTTAAACAAAAGAATGTCTGATGATTTAAGTTAGGCAAATGAAGGTTAAGTTTTGGCTCCAGGTTTGCAGTAAGTTTTCCTGTCCCTCTGGTTCTAATCATTTCACCATCAGATATCATCACTGGCTCCGTGCTAGAACTTTCACCTCAGAATTAAGTTCTGGGGCTTCAGGCCTACTCTGGAGACTTGTACACAGAATCCAGGTTGGTCTTTTAGTGCAACACAGAGATTGTTGCCATTTTACAAATGAAATGTGAAACTCACAATACGGAAGATTTCATAGAACTATTCGAACAGCATTCTTTGCGATCTTCTGGCTGATACTTATCCCTCAACAAACTGGTCATTAGCTCTTTATGGTATGTAGGTCCATGCAGTGCTCAAATCAATTGCTATATTTCCTACATTAAAATGACTACTCTTCAGATAATACTTCATTGGCCCGAAAACACTTGTGACATCTTGAAGTTATGAAAAGCACCATGCAAATGCAAGTTCCTATCTTAGATTGTGTAGACTCAAATATCCTTGAACCCAAAATGAGGAAAATAAATCAAATTCATGAACCAGACTTTCTCATATTTTGAATGGCTATGCTGCAAGAAAGACTAAGATACTTTAAGATTTCTTGTTGTCACCATGTTGTTGGCAATGTTGAAACCACGGTAAAAATGTTTCCTGCTTGCTACTTCTGACTAAATTATTGAGAGAGAAAATTAACCAATTAACTAGCCAGCAGGGCTAGTCATCAGAAAATTTAGAACTTTAAAACAAAATTGTTTTAATTCATTCATGGGGTGTGCATTGATGGCTGGGTCAGTGTTTGTTGCCTATCCCTAATTGCTCTGGGGAAGGTGGTGGTGAGCTGCTATCTTGAGCTGCTAACATCACTGGGGTGTAGGAACACCTATAATGATGATAGGAAAGGAGTTCTAAGAATTTCACCCAGTGACAGTGTAAGAACAATGATAATGTTCCAAGTCAGAATGGTAAGTGGCTTGGAGGGGAACTTGCAGTTTATGTTCCCATGGATCTGCTACCTTTGTCCTTCCAAATGGTAGAGATCATTGTTTTGGAAGTTATTATGAAATGAATCTTGGTGAGAGCATCATGTAGAGATAGTACATTGCTACCACTGTGTGGTGACGGTGAAGGGAGTGCATATATTGTAGGTGGTGTTTGGGTGATAATCAAGCAGGCTGCGTTGTTCTGGATATTTTTAAATTTGTTAAGTGTTGTTGGAGTTGCACCTATCCACGGAAGTAGACAGTATTCCGTCATATTCCTGACTTTTGCCTTGTAGATGATGGAGAGGCACTAGGAAGTCTGGAGGTTAGTTACTCAACCCAAAATTCCCAGCCTTTGACCTGCTGTTGCAGTCACAAGTTTTATTTGGTGGTCCATTTCAAGTCCCTTTCAATGGTAACTCCTAGACCGTTGCCAGTGGGGGGACCTAGTGATGGTAATGCCATTGAATGTGAAGGACGATGGTTTGATTTGTTCATGTTAGAGATTGTCACTACCTGGGACGTGTAGCATGAATGATACTAGCCACTTATCAGTCTATGCCTGGATATTGCTCAGGCCTTGCTGCACATGGATATTGATAGCCTTCATATCCAGCTAATTGCAAATTGTTCTGAACATTGTAGAAGCATCAGCAAACATCCCCACTTCTGATCTTATTGTGGAGAATCGATCAAACAACTGAAGTAGTTTGGTCCAGGACCCTCTTCTGTACTTTTCTGAACAGAGTAATCAACCTTGTTTGAAAGAGCAAAAGTGCTATGGTGCATTTTGAAGCACTTGGGTCAACCAATACATGTTCAAAAGGAGGGAAATTTGCTCAAATCCTCAATACTGAACTCCTCTCTTCAACAAAGCCGAAATCAAAATTACAAATGTAAATATCTAGGAATATTGAAGTTAGCACTGACCTGTAAGCTCCCAGGTTTATGCAACTGATTCCCAGATTGTACCTTGATCGGATGAAGCCAGGTTGAATTTCCAAAGCTCTTTGATAAGCCTCAACAGCTTCTTCACTCCGATCTCCATTTGCTAATGTAGCTCCAAGACGATTCCACAACAAATAATCCTTGGAAGTATTAAAGCATTTTAAAAACTATTGTCAGAGAAATTTAGATAGACAGAAGTTACATCAGAATATTTAATTTTTTATATCACATTTCTGTGTGTGTTATCTCAGTTGTTAGCTACTTTAAAAAAAATTGTTAATGCATTAACTTTAAATATAATGACAGCTGCATAATAATTGTGCATGTAGAAACAGGATTGTGATTATATTTGTTCAATAATTCAAACTTTCAGAAATTGTTTTTTGTGGCATTCTAGCCACACTAAAATACAAGGTTTATTGTTGTTCTTTCATAGAATGTGGCATCACTGCCTGGGGCAGTATTTATTATTGGCCAGCCCTATAATAAAAGCAAAATACTGTGGATGCTGGAAATCTGAAACAAACACAGACAACGCTGAAGAAACTCAGTGGGTCTGGCACCATCTATAGAGAGAGAAACAGAGTTAACATTGAGTTTGTTATGACATGCTCAATCAGATTGGACTTGAAACATAACACTGTTTTTCTCGCCACAGATGCTGTCAAATCTGTTGAGTTTCTCCAACAGTTTGTTTATTTTTATTGCTCACTCTGAGAGTTGGCATTGAGAAGGAGATATTGAGTTTTTTCCTTGAACTGCTGCAATCCATTTGGTGGAGGAAGACTCACATTTGATGGAGGCAGTTCAAGGATTTTGACCCAGTAAAACTGCACGAAGAACTATATAATTACAATGCAGGATGGTGTGTGGCTTGATGGGGAACTTATGAATGGTGGTATTCCCACGTATCTGCTACTCTTGTCCTAGATGGCAGTGGTTATGGGTTTGGAAAAAGAGCCTTGGTGAACTTCTACAGTGTTTCTTTTAGATGGTAGACATAACTGCAATTGAGTGTTCGTGCTGGAGGGTGTGAGTGTCAGTCAAGTGGACTGCTTTGTCCTGGATGGCTCAAGCTTCTTGAGTGTTGTTAGAACTGCATCCATCCAGGCAAGAGGGCTGTATTCTATCACACTCCTGCTTTGTGCCCTGTGAATGATGGAAAGGCTTTGGGGAGTCACTCACAGCAGGATCCCTAGCCTCTGACCTGCTCTTGTTGACATAATTTCTGGTCAATGATAACTCCCAGTTAGTGGGAGATTAAGCAATGGTAACGCTATTGAATTCAAGGGATAGTGGTCAGATTCTCTCCTGTCGGAGATGGCCACTGCCTGGCACCTATGTGGTGCAAATGATACTTGCCACCTGAAACATGGGCATTGTCCATGTTTGTTATATGTGGAAATAAAGAAGTTGCTACTTGTCCCCAAATTGCATGATAATTGTATCTCTTAAAACAGTTTGGCATTGAATTAACATCGAAAAACGAGCAGGGATAGGCCATTTTGCCTCTGGAGCCTGTTCTGCCATTCGATATGATCATCCAATTCGGAACCCTATTCCCACTTTATCCCTTTAGACCTAAGAACTATATCAAACTCCTTCATGAAAACATTCATTGTTTTGTCTTCAACCCTTCATTCTTGTAAAGTTTAATTTCAGTGAATATAGTCCTAACCGATCCAGTCTCTCTTCTCAGTCCTGCCATCCTGGGAATCAGTCTGATAAACCTTTGTTGCACTCCCTCCATAGTCAGAACATTTTTCCTCAGCTAAGTAGACAAGACTGCATACAATACTCCAGGTGTCTTCTTACCAAGTCCCTGTACAATTACAGCAAAACATCCCCACTCTGGTTCTGAATTCTCTCCCTATGAAGGACAATAGACATTTCTTCCCTGCCTGCTGCACCTGCATGCTTACTTTAAGCAACTGGTATTCACGGGCACCCAGATCCCATTGCAGCTTTCCCTTTCCCAGTCTATGGCCATTCAGATAACAATCTGATTTCCTGTTTTTGCTACCAATGTGGATAACCTTACATTTATCCATATCATACTTCATTTGTCATGCATTTTCCTACTCATTCAATTTCTCCAAATCATACCAAAGCTCACTTCATCCTCCTCACAGTTTATCCGCCTTCCTTTGTGTCATCTGCAAACTTGATGATATTATGTGTGAGGCTGCATTACTTGACTGATATCCTCAACAAATGTGTCAGAAACACTTGGGGTTTGTCCATTTCACTGTCTCTTTAGTGTGTCCAGTTTTAATTGTTGCCCAAGAAGATGTCTAACAAGGATTTGCTTTACAAGAGTAGTTTCATCCATTCAGATTTTATTATTGAAAATGATAAAAATATAATTTATTGAATTGAACTTTCTCTCTCATCTCCTCCTTTACTCTCTCTTTTGGCAATTGTGCCTGATTTGACATCAATTTTACAGTTCTGGCACTCCTGGCTCAAGTTCTGAACCACTAATTAACATTTTTTCAATCTGACTGATTATGGGAACACACAGTTCCTAGGGGTTTATACAGGTGCCAGATGCTCTGTGCTTTCTGGATAGTTAGTTGCCAAAAACTTCCAGTGCAAAAGCCTATAGAATGGCAATGGCCAAGTGTTCATTTATCTTTGATCACAAAATCTGGTTGAATAATGTTTTGTCCCGCTATTTACTGCTGAATGATGAAATAAACCTCTTAGTTTATAGGTAATTCTCAGATCAAATGAGAACTATATCCGTTACAGTGGGTCGAAATAGGGCATTATGTGTTGCTTGTATGATTACTGAATCTGTTGTTTAGTGAAATAATAATGTTGGACACGAAACCAACAATTCACAGGTATAACAACGATTGTTATAATTTTTTCAATATTCATTTCATCTTACATGGTCATTATTTCTAGGTATATAGGATTGTGTGGTAGAATGAAGCCAAAATGAAATATCAAAAACAGAAAGGATAATAAATATAATAACGCCCTCTTGCTGACAAAATGTAACTAATTTCTATTGTCATTGTCTCTTTCCAATTTAGTATAGAAGGTGAAAAGGCATTGCTAAAACAGAAATTATAGCATGAATTATCATTTAAAATAGTGAGATTTTACCTGTGGTCTAATTGTTAGGGCAGCATTGAATGCCTCAACAGCTTTGTCGTATTCTCCACTGAGGTTAAAAAGTACACCTAATCCAGTCTGCAGGTCTGGATCTATTGCATCAGAATTCTGATGGGCTGCTTTCAAAAACAGATCTTTCACTTCTGCAAGGGATGAACTGAACATGTTTATAGTAATTGAGTATCAAATAGCTAAAAGCTAATTTTCCAATTACAAGTGTGAATTCATTCAATTAAAATAAATTGTATGCAAATTTACTTTCTTTTGCTGGACCAATAATTAAGTTTGTAGAACAAATTCTCCATATTTGCCTAAAACACAGATTTGTAGTTACCTGTCATCTGTTTCTTTACATTCTTTTCTCCCAAGGGCTGGAGACCCAGTTTTCCCTCTTATTAGATATTTGTATTTGGGATTATGTCTAATCCAGTTTTTCAGAGCTTCACTAGCTTCTTGTTGTAGACCTATGTTGGTCAAGCTTACTGCCAATGCCATCAAAGCAATCAAATTGCAAGACTGTAATTCTAGACATCTAGAAGGAAAATAGATATATGGTTGTTCCAGAGACAAGTGTGGCACAACAGTTTTCATTCTACATACTCAAATGCTTTGGAAATTACTTTATAAGATCAGGAGGACTGACAAGAGTCTACTATAAATACAGTTAAATAATGTGGAAAATATTAATCTGAACAACTTGGGTAATTATACTATTATTTCTAACAAGATACTACTTCAAATAACAGTCATTCAATATATGATTCACTTTTCAGAAGATGCTGCATTGTACCTGGATTGATTAATTAATCAATTTAGATGTCTTACATCCAACGTAGCATTTTTTGCAGATTGTTTTAAAGTGATGCTTTAGAAGTTAAAGCTGAAAAGTTGAAAAGGCTGACTTTAATGTCTGGCAGAAATTGTTGCCCAGCCAATATGCACCAATTTTAGTAGAAACCATCTTATGTACATATTATGCAGGCGAATGGACTTTGTGTCTATATTCAACATTTAGTACCTATCAGTAATCAAGAAAGCTATAGTCATAATTAACAAAAGATACTCATATCCTCTTCATTTCACCTATCATATTACCAACAAGTGCACAAATAGTTAAAGTACACCTGCAAACTCAGTATGAATTAAAAGTGTTGGGATTACATCCCTAACAATGGTGTTTTAGACTTGTCTCTTATTTACTAACCAGAATTGTAATTATCCACATCAATATTCTGAATTAGACACGTGGCTTTGGGCTAACTTACTGGATAACACTTATCTAGATAGGAAAAAAAAAAGGTGACAATATATCTGTTCTGAAACTATGAGATGTTCCTTATGACCATAATTTTGTTTTTTATCTTTGTTCTTTTCTTGACAATTATATTCCCTTCACATTTAATCTATTGCTTTAACTGTGAAATTACATGGTGCAATGCTAATACTAGAGTCTTTTATGAAGTATGCAATAGTAGAGCATTAAGAAATACAGAATAAAATCAAGCAGAGTCCGCTTGGCTTCATGAAGGGGAAATCATGCCTGACAAATTTATTACAGCTTTTTGAGGAGCTAACAAACAGGATAGTTAAAGGTGAACCAGCAAATGTAATATATTTGGATTTTCAAAAGTTATTTGTAAGGTTCTGTATATGAGGCTACTTAATAAGAAAAGGACCCATGATGCTGAAAGTAATATATTTGGATGAATTGATAATTAATTAACCACGAGAAAACAGAGTGTTGGGTTAAAGGGACCATTTTCAGGATGGCAACTTGTAACTAGTGAAGTGCCACAGGGATCAGTGCTGGGACCACATTTATTTCATTATACATCATACATTAATGACTTGGATGACAAAGGTAAATGCACTGTCAAGTCTGTAGATGACACAAATTTGGGTGGAAAGGCAAGTAGTGAGGTTGACACAAAGAGACGACAGAGAGATATAGACAGGTTAAGTGAGTGATCAAAAACTTGGCAAATTGAATATAATGTGGGAAAATGTGAGGTTATGTATTTTAATGTGAAGAATAGAGATGTTGAATAATATTTATATGGAAAAAGACTGCAGAAAGTTGTGGCACATGAGGATTTGAAGGTCCTCATATTTGGATCACAAAAAAAGACTAACATCGAAGTTCAACAGATAATGGAGAAGATAAATGGACTGTTGGCCTAGACGTTAAAGGGAATGGTGTATAAAAATAGGGAAGTCTTGCTAAAACTATACATGGCACTAATCAGTTCACAGTTAGATTACTGTGAACAGTTTTGGTTCTCTTATCTAAGGCAGTCCAGATAAGTATCACTAGGCTGATATTTGGAAAGGAGCAATTGTCTTATGAGGAGAGGTTTAGTAGGTTGGGCTTGTACTCATTGGAGTGTAGCAGAATGAGAGGAGACCGTTTGAAACATTTAAGATTTTTAGGGGGGCTAACAGGGTAGTTGTGGAGAGGTTGTTTTCCCTTGTGGGAGAAGCTAGGACCAAACGGCAAAATCTCAGAGCAAGTGGTCATTCATTTAAGACAGAGATGAAGAAGAACTTTTCTCAGGGTAGACAGTCTGTAGAATTCTTTATACAGAGAGCTTTTGAGGTTGGATCATCGGGTACAGTCAGTTCTGATTTAACGCAAGAGTTCCATACTCCTGCAATCTCGCTTTATAAGAAAATTGCGCAATAGCCACACCATTTAAACTAATGGAACGTGCCAGAATCACATTACAGCCAATACAGGTAAGGAAAGTTTGCGTTCTACAAATAGTGGTCTAAATTCTTCAATCACGTTAAAGCCAGTTCGTATTGAAGAAACACACATTATAGCAGAACCAATTGTACATTCGAGGCTTAGGTAGATTTTTAATCAGTAACAGAATTGAGGATTATGGAGATAAGGCAGGGAAGTGGGCTCCTTTAGTTAGACATCGTTACGTGGACAAGAAATGTTGTATCGTGATAGACTATGGGGGCATCTAAAACTATATTAAATTTGATTAAGATTACGATTAATGCAGTAAAGAACTATTTGCAATGAATTCAAGACAGACAATAGGTACAATGGGTGATTAAGAAGAGACAAGTTCAGCAGAAATATCCAACCTCTCTATCTTCCAAAGAAAAATCCCCACCAACCATAAAGGGTAACTGATCAACCAAGAATGAAGCCTTAGGAAACACAGCTGGGGGAGTGAACAAGTTAGTTTCATCAATAATCCATTATTAGTCCAATAACTTAACCCAAATTCTACATTTTCCAATCTACAATTCGGGTCTGTAATTTTTGCAGTGTCCATCATACTCAGCTGATCCATATCTACGGATACCAAGTGGAACCGTCAGCTTTCACCTTGGCTAAAGATGCTTGGAATCATACCATACACCTCATATTTTGCCTTGGGAGCTTACAGCCCAATGGCCTGAATATTGACTTTACCAGCTTCAAAGGCTTCCCTCCCCCAAACGGTCCATCTTCTGACTCATCTATCTGCTCCACCCTTCCAACTAATCAACCACAATAACCTGCTACCTGTACCCAACTTTCTCCATCTACCTATCCTCCCTCCAGCCCCACACCCCCTTCTATTTCTGGGATCCCCTCCCCTTCCCAGTCCTGACAAAGGGTTATGGTTTGAAACATTGACTTTCCTGGTCCTCAGATGCTGTCTGACCTGCTGTGCTTTTCCAGCTCCACATCTATTGACTCTGGCTTTCAGCATCTGGAGTCATTATTGTCTCCACACATATCTCTCATACTTCTGCTGGGACTTGTCACAGTTGCTGATGTTCTACTATTTTAATTACATGAAGATTCACAATTGGGAATGGTGGGACTAAGATGATTTGGTTTCATCCACTATTTGTGGGACTGCTTAGATCCGACAGTGCTCGCTGCTTTTGCTGTCTTTCCTTCAAGGGGTGTTCACCCTTGAGGTACACTGAAGAGGTGTAACAGCTGCTGATCATAACTCTTGTTTGATCTTAATTCTTGGTTGATCTTCAGCCTTGTGGTCTGGCATGAAGATTAGTGGCATGTGTACTTTGTGTTAAATGGTGTGTACTGTCAATAGGACAGGATATGCCCAGTTGGATGACAATGACAGAATCTGGGAAATTGATGTTAAGTCTGTTTGTTTGCTGTTGTTTGGACAGGCAACAGAATAGCACTGCCCAACATGTGCCTCTGTTCTAAAATGTCACTGAGGAAACCCCCAAATGATTTACTGAGATTCATTGGATGATAAGATTCAGTTACAGAGACAGCTGCTATAACCAAAGGCAGCAACCAGTGCAAAAAAAAACTTTAAATGAAATGATCAAAATCACTCCCATGTTTTCACCTTCAACTCAGGTTCCTCGACCAAAAAAATATATGGGATCTAGTATGTGACGTATTTTCTCGTACTACATCGAGAATAAATGCCAAGTTGAAAGCAAATACATGTTAAAGAAATTTGAAGAGGGGGATGTCTTGTTCATTGCAACTTTGGCCATGTTTTCTCCCTATGGTTCATGAAGCCAGTCGTAAACATTCTGGCATTTATAAATCCTCATATCAGATTCCACCCCACTGAATCCGTTTTCATTATCTGAAATTTTGTATAACTAACATTCATCCATGGACCAAACTATGTTATATTTTCTATTCCAGCACAGGGAAATTAGTGTAGACATTTTGTTTTATCAGGCTTACCTCTGGAGAGCAACAATGGCAGCCTGTTCATTTTCATTATCTGCTTGTGTGGTGCCCAAGTACTGCCATGCCTGTGGACATACTAACAATATCAGTGCAAAGAAGCAACAGTACTAAATAACAAATTATATTCACAAGAATGCAATTGCAATGTTTATAGAAAAAGGTACAATATTTTATAGATAAGTTTTTTTGATATTGCCAGTTTTGTCCTCTTTCAAATTACAGTATTTATGTATATTATGTATGTAATTTTATATAATTACAGATGAAGGATTTTCAAGTTGACTGGTGGAAAAAATGATAAGTGACAAAATAGAAGTTGAAAGCTAACCAGTTCAATAAAACACAGTAAAGATGGCAGGTAGCAGCCGTAGTATATGGAGACTGGTTGTCACCAGTTTACACCACAATTACCATAGCAACAGTAAATGTTTCAGCACGACCAAATGTCTGCTCAGAGTTGACGAGCTGAAACACAGCTATAGACGCTATGATATATCAGGGAGAGATCAAGGTGCCTGGACACCTTGTTCTCAGAGGCAGTGAGTGAAGCAGATATGGGGATCAGCATGTGGAAGAGTCTCAGCCTGTTATTGTCCAAAAGGTTCAAGGTTCTTGCAGCTTGTGTGGATGAGAGCAGGGACTGAAGGGTGGATCAGCAAACTGACCACTGTATCCTGAAGCAGGGAGCCATTAAAAGTGTGAAGGGTAAAAAAAATATAATTAGAAGAATAGAGGTAGTTCTCTGCAGCTGACAAAGTGAGTCCTTAAGCCTGTACTGCGTGTCTGGTGGCAGATTTGAGGAAATTTCCTCCAGCCTGAAGAGGAGCCTGGAGTGAAAGAGGAAGGTTCAGTTGTTGTGGTATACATGCATACCAACGATATAAGCTAGAGTAAGAAAGAGGTTCTGTTAAGAGAGACAAATAGCTAGGCATTAAATGAAAAAGTAGAAACACAAAGGTAATAATCTCTGCATTACTATACCTGATCCATGAGCAAATTTGCATAGGGTCAAAAAAGAGATTTGAATGCATGGCTCAAAGATTGGTGTGGGAGAAATGAGTTTGGAATCATGGGACACTAGCACCAATACTGTGACAAGAGAGATTGTACTGTTGGGACACTCTTCATCTGAACCATGCTGGGACCATGTTCTGGGAAGTGTTATAATTAGGGAGCATCAGAGAGAACAGTGGGGTGTCACGTGTGAAAGTATTTGTAAAGTTAAAGCATGAAGACAATGGAATAGTCCAGGGTAGTGATATGGACACAGCAATTGTAAGCAGAATGTGAAAGGAATGGAGAGAGTCAATAAACATAAAAGTGTACTAGAAGATATGATCAGAAGAAATGGCTTTAAACCAACAGCGGACCAGGATGTTTTGGGTGAACGGCAATTTAGAAAATCAACTGAACATTCAAATTAGGATCAGGAGTTGGCCACTCAGCCTCTCAAGTTTGCTCTGCCATTCAATAAAGTCATGGCTGATCTGATTAATCTACATTTGCGCCAAGGGTTCTTGACATTTGCTCCAGACATGGCATTCTGGGGAAACCAATGTCCTGCTTTGCGGGCAGGTTCCTGGAGGTCCAGTTGGATAAACTGGTGTTGACACAGGACCAGCACTGGAAGACATGACACAAAACAATGCAAGCTTGGTCTGAAGATCGTCACCTGGGTTAAAACAGTTTCAGTTGTCTGGAGGAATGCTCAGAATTGTAGGAAGAAAGTTAATGTCTTTCTCCACTCCCACCTGGATAAGTTCCAACATCTTCTTTGTGATACGTCACTTTCATTCTATCTCTGCAACTTTACCAACCTTCCACCAAGGTATTTGTTTTACCACTCTCACTATTGTCTGTGAGATCTTATCCACCCCAACCCCTGACACCATTAACTCTGGATCCCCTCAGCATTACCTACTCACCCATTTAGGACACTTCTCCACCTGCACCAACCGTGTAATAGCTATGCGATCCGTGTTCAACTTCTCTAATCCCGGTCTCTCTGTATCTCATCCCATGAAGAAAATAGGCCCCCAGTACAGCAGAAAGAGCCTGGGTGAAAAAGTTTTTCCCCAAATCCCCTCTAAACCTCTTGCCTTTCACACTTCAAAATTATTCTCTTTTCATTGATCCCTCAAACTAAGGGGAACAGCTACCTTCTATTCACCCTGTCCATTCTCCTTATAATCTTATACTTCTCTGTCATCAGGCCCCTCCTCAATCTTCTCTGTTTCGAAGAAAACAACACCAACTTATTCAACATCTTTTTGTAGTTGAAATGCTCTATCCTTTGAATCTACCTTGCACCACCTCTAGTACAGTCACATCCCTCCTATAGTATGGTGACCAGAACTGCACACAGTACTCCAGCTGTGGCCTAACCAAAGTTCAGTACAGCTCCAACATGACCTCCTCTCTCTTATATCTCTTCCATGACTGATAAAGGCAAGCATACCATATGCCTTTTTAACCTGTCTTGCCACCTTCAGCAATCTGTAGACAAGCAATCCAAGATCCCTCTGATCCTCTGAGCTTCCTAGTATCCTGCCATTTATTGAGTACTCCCTTATCTTATTCCTTCTTGCAAAGTGCATCACTAAGGCTGATCAGGGTTAAATTTCTCACTCTGACTGCCCCAAGCAGGCTCAGGACTGGTATTGGAGGCTGCCCTTGACCTGCCGTGCCATGATCCACTAAGTGAAGGCTGGCCTCCTTGATGTGACTGAGGCCTGCTGACAATCATGATAAGCTTCCAGGCTTTGTGTCTGCACTAAAAGGTGCAGTAGGAGATGTTTCATTTTGGTAGGGTAAATGAAGAGATGCAAAATAAGCTAAATGGCAACTTATTTATTTCATATTGGTCTTTTAAAAGGGGTGCAGGAATGGGGGACTAGGGTGCATGTACTCAAATCTCGAAAGGTAGCAGGACAACTTACATAGAGTATCAAAGAGGCATATGGGAACCTCAGCTTATAAAGAGAGATATAGAAACAAAGAAGAAGTTATGGTAAATCTCTATAAACACACTGGGAGGTACAGTAAATCATGGCATACAAGTCAATCTAGCGTGTAAGACAATTCCCTTTTCTCAGTCCTAAAAGTTATTGTTTCTACATACACTTGGCCAACAGGTCAAATCCCCAATCAGCCACAATGTGCAATATTCACAGTAGTTATAAACCTCAAGTTTTCAACCCACAAACAGACTCTTACTTAGTGGTATCATATCATTGGGTGCAAGGATCATGCAGATAACAAATGCTGTTCTGTAAGGACGTGCTAAATCATAACCAAACAGACCAGTCCCTTCATGATGAACACCAAGGTTGGTGACCACATAAAACCATGTCAATGGTCCACTTTTATTCTCGGCATTTTTGAAGGGCTATTTCAAGGCTTAAACTGTCAATTTATAAACCAGCATATATAGTAAGCAAATAATTAAAAGGGAAAAATTTGAACAGCATCAAAAAAGATGTAATGGTACAAATGAGAGTTTTTGTAATGGTCCATTTGATTAGTTGAATAAATCTCTCCATATTGTGTGCTTCTATGAATTGTTCCTGTAAAATGTCTGAGGTCATTTTTCTGAGTTAACAGTGCTATGTGTTTTATGCAGAATAAACAGGAAGAACAGGATTCATACAAATACAGATGGAAAATGGCCTACAGTGTCAACAGGCTATCCTGTAATAAAGTAAGTTTCTCTCAAAAGAAAAATGCTGTGTTTTAATTTAGCTGCAGGGACCAGGCAAATAGCATGGATGTAAATAAACTGAATTCACTGTACAACACTTGATAGGGAGCAGAAACTAATCTTTAGACTGCGCAGAGTAAATTCACTAGTTCTTTTCTTAATGGGGAGTTGTACTCTTGAAAGGAGTAGTGGTAAGAGATAGGGTTTCAACACTGTCATGTGATTTCTCCAACCCATGCTCCCAGTAGGACCAAGCTGTTTCAAGTTGGGCTGTTGCCTAAAATGCTAGTTACACTTAATGCAACGTATTGTGTGGATGAAACAAAACTTAGGCTTTTGCATATAGAGTGACATACAGCATCTTTAGAATACATAGGAAATGGTTTCAAACTTTCCCCTCCCCCTTTTCTGATGAAGGGTCTAGGCCCGAAACGTCAGACTCTCTGCTCCTATGATGCTGCTTGGCCTGCTGTGTTCATCCAGCCCTGCACCTTGTTGTCTCGGATTCACCAGCATCTGCAGTTCCTACTATCTCTGTCTCAAATTGACGTATTGAGTGTATCCAATCAAAGTTAGATGAACAAAATATGCACTGAAATAATGTAAACCAGCAAATGTAATATCGTAGGCACATAGGAAATAAGAGCAGGAGTAGGCCATTTGGCTCATCAAACCTGCCTCATTGTTCAACAAGTTCACGGTTGATCTGCCCCAGGCCTCAACTCCTCTTTTGTGCCAGGCCACTGTGGTCCTCACCTCCCTAATAGTTGAAAAATATACCAACCTCCTCTTCAAACACTTTCAGTGTCCTTGCCTCCAAAACTCTCTGGGGAAAAGATTTCCAGATACTCGTTATCCTCTGGGAGAAAAAATTCTTTTGCATCTCAGTTTTAAATGAGCATCCCCTCATTCTGTAACTATGTTCCCTTTGAGAATCTCCCATTCACACCTTGCTTGTCTGTTATCCTTGGGAATGTTTATAGTGTCCTACACCGTGAAGATCGAAGCAAAGTATTGGTTTAAGTTATCTTCTATTTCCTTGCTCTCCATTATTAATTCCCCATCAAGGGTTCCAAACACACTTTTCTATCGGTACAATATTCAGTGCTGATTTCTTTTTACCATCTTGACAAAATACACTGATATCTTGAAACACTGCTTGATAAGTTCTGCTAGGTTTGAGCAATGGTATCTAAGCTGGGATCCTTCTGCTCTACAGAACTGACATGAAGGATTTTTGTAAGCCCACAAGACCATAAGATATAGGAGCAGAATTAGGCCATTCAGCCCATCAGGACTGCTCCATCATTTGATCATGACTGATATGCTTCTCAACCACATTCTCCTGTCTTCTCCCCATAAACCTCGATCCCCTTACCAATCAAGAACCCGTCAGTCTATTTGCACAGCCATGATTGCCAGCATAAATGCATGCAAAAGGGAAGTAATGGAGATGAGTTTTTCAGTGGCCAAGTTTAATTGCAGCAATTGGTTGGGGCAGCAGCAAAGAAATAGAGTAGCATTTGAATCACTAAGTTCACTGCCAGGCAGATGGACTGAATGGTTTATGTGTAACTCTCTTACTTTTCAGTGAGGTATCTGGCACTGAGAACCAAAAGGGACAGAATACGCAAGGTCAGTACTAATATAGCTATGAGCTCCACCAATTTGGCCTCAGAATTTTCCCTAATTTTAAATAGTGCCACCACTGGTAACCAAGCCTGTAATTTGGCAAAATCTGGAATTCCCACTCAAAACCAAAAAAGTAAGATTTGGCTCTTTGTATCTACATTTATAGCAGCAAGTATCTAAAGATGATTTATTATGATAGTGGTGCTATAAAAATGTATATTATTGCTCTAAAAGGCCTGAATCAGTTTTCATGGTGGGTTACAAACATTACTGATGATGAACTATATAACCTGTTTTGTATTACTAGGCATAACCCCACTAATAATATTTCAACACTCAGATTTGCATGTAAAAGTTCCTGCCATATGCTTTGGAATTATCAGTGCATTAACATATATTCTGTGACTGTTAAATATCATCAGCCTACCTCTGCATCATAGGGGTCTTGCAAAATTGCTGATTCCAGCAGTAATACAGCATTGGGCAGATCTCCTTCTTTCTGCTTTTTAAGAGCTTCCTCAAATGCATTGGACCAGTCTTTGAAGGGATTGTCGGTGTGAAAATAATAGCCCTGTAGCAAAGGTTAATTGGAATGAATAATATATCTTGAAACAAGTTGCAAGAATTAATTATCTAATTTGTGGAATTAAATTATTCTGCTTACTGATAGTTCAAGAGACATCTTTTGCATATAATCTATTCACTATTACTTTGCTGTTCTTGTTTATTGGGTTACAGCAATTAAATGGCTTCATTAATAATTAAAACACTATCCATTCAACATTTGTTTGATTCCTTCCATCGCTCATTAGTGTGCTGTTTTAAATGGTCAGTACTACAATTACAAGATTAAAATCTATCTTATGTAAATAATGAGGTAATAATAAATTCTTTCTGCTGTATTTTCCTCATTTCTGCCATATACGATGAATTTGTTGTCACCATTTTCTCGTCGAGTTTGAATATAAATGAGAATCAACCAAAAAAACTGACAGTTGTAAAATTTTAATTAGAAAGCAACAAATTGTGAAGATCATATTTTCAAGGTCACCTTCTCATGTGGGGAGATGTTTGTATTTGTTGCTGGCTGTTCACTTCCTGCAATCCAATTCCTACGTGCCATTTCTTCCCATTCATCTTGCATTTTATCCCAGAATTCTGTGTCAGACTAGTAAAGAACAATGAGATATAAAAACAAAAAATACTTCAATCACAATCTGATTTCAATGAAAGAAAGTCAAAGAAAATACTTGGTAGCAATTCATTAAGCATCAGATGTACAAGTAAGCTAGTACTTTCTAAGTCAGAGAACAATGAGGAAGTTGCCAGATGAGATGAAGTGTGAATGCTTAAGAAGAAAGCAGGATGATAAGCCCACTTTAACTCACAAAATATAGTTCTTTTCAAGTTTCTCATAGGACTGGTCTCAAAGATTTCCTTTGAGAGAAAATGCAACTTCAAGATTGTTGGTTTCTTTTGTCAATTATACATATTCACAATGCATACTCATGCTGAATACTTGATATGTGGTCAATAATTGTCTTGTCAAGGAAAGTTGTCCTTTTCATAACCCTCAGCAGCAGTACACATCTGAAATGCATTGTACCACTAATCGATTAAGTCTTTAAGATCAACTGATTTCATTTATTTATTAGTTTACATTGTGCTGATATTGGAGTTCTTTTATTATTGCATTACAAAAAAATCACCTAATATGAATAACATGAGAATCAGACTAGGAGTGAACCGTACAACCTCTTGAGCCTCTTGCTGATGCAGGCTCGAAGGGCCGAATGGCCTACTCATGCATCTACTTTTTACGTTGAGCCTGCTGTGCCATTCATTGCAATCATGACTGATCTGATTCAATGCCACTTTCCCACCTGGTCCTCGTATCCCTCGATTCCCTGACAAGCTAAAATTCTATCTGTTTCAGCCTTACCTATTCTCAACAATGCAGCATTCACAACCATTTGGGGCAGAGAATTCCAAAGATTCACACCCTCTCTGACTGAAAACATTTCTCCTCAACTCAGTGCTACATGATTGATCTTACCCTGAAGCTGTGGATTTATCTTCTAGATTTGCCAGGGAGGAGAATCACCTTCTCAGTGTCTACCCAATCTAGCCCATTTACAACCTTTACGGTTCAATAGATCACCCCTCATTCTCCTAAACTCCAGATGTGTTGCCCAAGTTACTCCAAGGTTTTCTAAGATTACAAAAGGATCTTGATCAAATAGGTCAATGAGCTGAAAAATGGCAGATGGAGTTCAATCTGGATAAATGTGAGGTATTGCATTTGGGTACAACAAGAAAGGGTAGGGCTTATACATATTAATGGTAGGGCCTTGGGTAATGTTGTAGAACAAAGGGACCTTGGGGTTCAGGTGCTTAATTCTTTGAAGTTTGTGTCACATATAGACAGGGTGGTTAAAAAAGCATTTGGCACCCTTACCTTCATTGCTCAGGCCCTTTGAGTATAGAAGTTGGGAAATCATGTTGAGGTTGTACAAGATATTATTGAGGTCTCTTCTGGAATATTGTGTCCAGTTGTGTTCACCCAGTTAAAGGAAGGATATATTAAGCTGAAGAGAGTTCAGAAGAGATTTACCAGGATGTTGCTGGTATGGAAGGTTTGAGTTATAAAGAAAGGATGGATAGGCTGGGACTTTTTCATTGGAGTCTGGGAGGTTGAGAGACAACCTTATAGAAGTTTATAAAATAATGAGGGATATAGATAGATAGTTGTCTTTTCCCTAGTTTAGGGGATTTCAAGACAAGGGCACATTTTTAAGGTGGGAGATTTAAAAAAAGACATAAGGTGGCCAACATTTTACACAGAGGGTGGTTCATGCGTGGAATGGCCTTCCTGAGGAAATGGTGTATGTGGGTACAATTACAATGTTTAAAAGACATTTTGGATAAGTACATGAATAGTAAAGGTTTGGAGGGATTTGAGCCAGGAGCAGGCCAGGTGGGACTAGTTTAGTTTGGGATTATGTTTGGCATGGACTGGTTGGACTGAAGGGTCTGTTTCTGTGCTGTATGACTCTATGACCATTTCCTCAACTTTCATTCCAGTAACCAGTCTAGTGAATCTTCACTGTACTGTCTTCAAACTCTTTATAGATATGGAATCTAAAGCTCTGCATGGTATTTTAGGTATGATCTTAGCAAAGCCCTACAGAACGTAGCTACCTTTCTTTATTCTTCTTCTTCAATCCCCTTGTGATAATAGTCAATATCCTCTTTGTTTTCCTAATTGTTCTATCTGAATGTTAACTTCCTGTGTTTCTTGTGAATATACCCAAACTTCTCTGACATTCAACAATTAAAAGATCCACATCTTTTTAAAAATATTCCGCACTTCTATTCTTACTACCAAAGTGAATACATTCTCACTTATCCACATTATAGTCCATCTGTCATCTTGTTGCCCATTGATTTAATACATTCCCATCTTGCTTTGTATCATCGACAAATTTTGATATATAACTTCAGTCTCTTTATGTCATTAATGCAGATTGTAAGTAGCTGTGGCACTGATCTGTGGCACTCCACTAGTTGCAGCCTGTCAACTTGAAAACATCCTCTTTAGCCTTATTTTCTGCAGCATTTCTGCTATCCAGTCTTTCAGGATGCTAAGATCTTATCCCAAATTCCAGGAGTCATTATCTAGCATTGTATCCTTTTGTAAGGCACCTTACCAAATTAATTTTCAAAACCCATGAAAAGGACATCTTCCTTTCATGTGTCTAGTTACATCTGCAAAAATACATTCAAATAGATTTGTTAATGCAATTTTCCTTGTGTAAAATCATGTTGATTCTGATGTTATATGTGCATTGTTAGCTCTAATTAACTGTCGTAAGGAAGGCATTAGAAGCTGTTTCTAAATAAATTATAGCAGGATACTTTGTCAGAGTCAGAGAACATTGGTTTTGTGAAAGGGAAATCATTTTTAACTGATCTGTTGGAGTTCTTAGAGTAAGTAACATGTGCTTTGGATAAAAGGAACCGATGGATACACTTTGATAAGATTTCGAGAACCCATTTCATATGGTGCTATAGCAAAAGTTATTGCAAAAATAAGCTTGTAGTGCAGTGGGTAACATATTGGTATAGATAGGATATTGGCTAGCTAACATGGAACAGAATAGGTGTAAATGGGTCATTTTATGGTTGACAGGTTGTGACAAGTGGTGCGACACAGGTATCAATGCTGGTGCCTGAACCTTTTTACCATTCTATATATGTGGTTTTTTTAAAATATGAATTTTTGAAGATACTGAAAGTATGGTTTTTTTTAATGACACAAGGATAGGTAGGATGGCAAGTTATGAAGAGGATACTAAGACTTTCAAGAAGACTTTCTTAGGAACTAAAGACATCAAATTACTTGGGGAGAAAGCAGGAACAGGGTACTGAATTGGATGATCAGACATGATCATACTGAAAGGTTGAGCAAGTTCAAATGACCAAATGGCCTACTTCTACTCTGATATTCTATGTTTCCACAATGAGGCTATCAAGAGATATTATTAGGTTCATGTGGGCAAAGATTTGGAAAGTGGAGTAAAATGGGAGAAAAGTAAAATTGTCCGTTGGTCCATCTAGGAGGAATAAAAAGAAGATATTGTGTAAATGGCGGAAGACTGCAAGGCTGTCATATGCCGAGGGATCGAGGTGTCTCAGTGTCTCCTTATTTAAAGAAAGGTGCAAATGTATTGGAGGCAGTTCAAAGAAGGTTTACTACATTCGTATCTGAAAAGGGCTGGTTGTCTTTTGAGGAAAGGTTGCACAGGTTTAGCTGGAGTCCACTGGAGTTTAGAAGAGTTATAAGTGACTTGATTGAAACATATAACATTTTGATGAGTCTTGAGAAGGTACACGTGGTAGGTATATTTAGACTTGTAGGAAAATCAAGAACTAGCAGTCACTGTTTAAAATTAAGGGGCCACACAAAAGCAATAGAAGGAGCATCTTTTCCTCACAAATGGTTCTGTGTCTTTGGAACTTACTTCCTCAAAAGACAGTGGAAGAGGAATCTTTGAATATTTTTAAGGTGGACATGGATTCTTAATTGGCAAGGAGGCAAGGTAGGTGGGAATGTGAAGTAATCAGATCAGCCATGATCTTGTTGAATGACAGAGCAGACATGACAACCTAATTCATATGTTCATACAGGACCTCTTCATTAAGAGTATTTTCCTGACAATGAATGTCAGATTAATTGGCCTGTGAAGGCTCAACTAAGATTGTATTTATCAAGAATTACTTTACAATAAGAAAAATGCATTATTCCCAATGTGAATTAATTCATATTGTTATAAGCAACATTGATTTTATATTTGAAAAATTATAGCTCTACATACTTTGAATAAGACAAACTCTTAAAAGTAAAGTTATAAGTATGTCCCCACTGCTCGTAACAGGCATGTTGGTATTTTGTTTGTGTGACTAAAGCACATAAAAGGTACAAAATAATAGCAGGAAGACAGAAGACAGTGGTGGAATTAATTACATTTTTCCACTGATAGGAGCTTTTGGGAAAATATTGAGACAAGTTCTGAATGTACAGTTTGAAACCCTGATAACCATAGTTTTCTTTCTATCTATTCAAAAACAACAGTTCTAGCCAATCATTTGCTCAGGAGTCCATTTCAGGGCACTAACGTGTAGGTTCTCACTCACTTTAATGGAGATATTTCACTGCATGGAAGCTCAGAGAGTTGATACGTTATCCAGCTGAACAGTAAAGGAAAGAAATGACAGTGCAAGGCAGAAAAGCAGTAAGTATGGCCAAAATTAGTGTTCCTTCTCTGCTTATGAGTAGTATCACTGAAAATGACCCACTGTATTGGCAAATGCTCAGTACTATTTGCCCAAAATATGTGCTGTCCATGAGCATGGATGATATAAATGGTGGTAATTGTCTTGCTTAATAGTCTTTATGTAGGTTATCACTCCTGACAAGGCAAGTAATATTTAAAGGATCTAATTTTAGAGGCATTGCATTGTGTTTCCTGAGTAGTTCTGGAATGTCATTAGTAATAATATGAAAGTTGCAGTCACCATAGAAATTGAACATAGAACATAGAACAGTACAGGCCCTTCGGCCCACGATGTTGTGCCGACCTATTATCCTACTAAGATCAATCTACCCTGCATACCTTACATTTTACTATCCTCAGTGTGCCTATACTATCCTCCATGTGTCTAATATATTTGACATTATATCACAGTATTTATGGAAATGTATCCTAGGTTCTGATTTTAATGATTCTTTAAATGATCTCTCTATGCTTTGATATTCTGCATCAAGACTAGTTGGAATCATCATGGAATATGGGAGATAAGACTTTTGAACATTTATCATCCACACACGACAATATCAGGGAAATATATGCACTGCTTTAAGCAGAATTTAAAATGGCATGAAAAACTGTGCAAATTATTGACGTTTCAATTTAAAAGATCAAGAATTCTTCTCAATTCATCCCCGTTGAGTATAAAAGAAACAATGCTACATTGCTTAGGATCTTTTCAATCTATACTGATTCAAACATTTATTGAGAAACAAAGGAGAAGGCCCATATTGCAGGTCATTGATGAAATTGCAACAAATATGAAAGTTAATATATCTGTAAATCTGAATACGATATAGCTTCATATTTTATTCACAAGGAGATTGTGTAACTATTTTTGTTCATGATGCAGGCAATGCAGGCTAGGTTAGCATCCCTAAAAACCATTAAGAAAATTATAGTGAGCTGCCTTCCTGAACTCTGTAGTCCTTGAAGTGTATGGGCACACAGAGTACTGTTAGGCAGGGACTACTGGGACTTTTCTACCCCAGCAATAGTAAAGAAATGGCAAAATAGTTCCAAGTCAGAATGGTGAGTGGCTTGCAAGAGAACTTGCAGGCCCTGGTTTTCCTATGCATCTCCTATCCTTGTCCTTCTAGATGGCAGTGGTAGAGGGTTTAGAAGATGCTTGCAAAGAAGCCTTTATGAATTGCTGCAGTGTAACTTGTAGATAGCATACGTTGCTGCTATAGAGGAGGAAGTCAAAAGAATGAAGAAGGAAATAAATGTTGAAGATGGGGGATAGGGTGCCACTCAAACATATTGTCTTGTTGGATGGTATGGAGCTTCTTGAGTGTTGTTGGACTTGCATCCATTCAGGAGAGTGGAGATTTTTCCATCACAACCTGAATTATTTCGGAGATGGTGCACAGCCCCTGAGAGAACCAGGTGAAGAGTTAATTGTCTGCATGGTGTCTATTCTTTCAAGAGTCTTCTTGAATGTTAGGCAAAGATGAGTATATCATTCAGATATATGAAGAGAGGCTGGAAATTAAAGTCACCAAGAGCTTTGTTCATCACATGAAGGAGGAGGGACATTACAAAGCTTAAATGGCATTCCTCTGTATTTGTAAACCTGCCCGGTGCCTGTCAGGAATGCTGGCCTTTCAATGTCTTGTCTACCGATGGCTAACTGGTTACAACTGTGGGCAAAATTAAGACTGCAAGAATATTTTGCACCTTTGAAAACATGCAATGCATCCTCAATCCTATGCAGAGGGTAAGCCTCCTGTGAAAATTCACATTGTGTGCCCGATAATCCACACAGATCCTAATTTTTCTGATTTCCTTCCTCACAAGGACAAGGGCGGTGGCATACATATGATGATTTGAGGTGTCACCTCACTCCAAAGACTTCTGTGGATAGTCCCAGATTTCTTACCAGTGTTGGGGTGGGATCAGGTGGTAATGCATCATTGCTGGATGGCTATCTTTACTCAAAATCCTGTGACTCAACAGGTCACAATAGTCAATATCATCATCATCTTCACTGAAAGTTGTCCTATATTTGCTGAGAGTAGAAACAAGCTACTTCATCTGGATCTCCTCAACTTACCAATGTCAATCTTTAAAACAAAATAAGAGATGTCTCCTCTAGTTGGTCCACTGCCCACGACACTTAGAGGTGGCTGGCATGTTCGATCAATATCAATGTTGGAACAGGCACATAAAAGAACAGTCCAGTTCCCTGCTTTTTGAACAGTTCTAGGGTCCCATACAGGTTAATAGACCTTGAGCATGCCATGTGCTACTCATAAGATTCACAACACATGTTGTCTAAGGACACCTAGATATCTCTTCACACTTGTGACTCCAACACCAGAGGTATTCTCAACTTCCTTACCTTCAATGAAGTATTGATTGGGTCAGTCAGGGACTCCCAGAAATTCTTTACAAAGAAAAGAGTGATTGAAGACAGATAGGGAGAGCACCAGAAATGTAACATGAGATTCAAGCACATAAACAGTCCAAACTCATGAAGGCAGGGAATCTTTACTCCACTGGCATCAGATCTTTATAACATGCAGGGAAATTAAGTTTAAACTTGAAAAACAGGGTATTCATATGGAATTATGCCTGTAGTTCACATCTGGTTGAGGAAATGCATGTATCTCCCTCTCCCCTTTCCTCAAAAGAGGGTCTGCTCGACCAATTGAGCCACCTGTTTATTGCCCTCCCTCAACATTGCCACTTGCTGTTGGAGGCCCCATTACATGATGATATCGAGGAGATAATTGATGAAGCAGATGAGGATAGTTGGGCTTAGGACACTCCCCTAAGGATCTCCTGCAGTGATGACCTGGGAGTGAGATGACTGACTTCCAACAATCACAGCCATCTTTCTTTGTGCAAGATATGATTCAAACAGTGGAGAATTTTCTCCCTGATACCCATTGACTCCAATTTTGTTTGGGCTCCTTGATTCCATGATTGGTCAAGTGCTGCTCTGATGTCAACAGCAGTCACTCTCACCTCACCTCTGGAGTTCAACTCTTCTGCAGTTAATAGAATGAAAAAGGGGGAAGTAAAGAATGAGTGAAATAAGGGCATCAAGCATTTTTGAGTTCTAGGAAAAACTGCATTAAGGTAGAAGACTGTGATGAATCGTAATGTGAGAAGGAGGAAAAATATGTAGGATAGTGTGGTGCTGGAGGAACACAGCAGGCTAGGCAGCATCAGAGGAGCAGGAAAGTTGAGGTCTCAGGTCAGGACCAGCCGAAATGTCAACTTTCCTACTCCTCTGATGCTGCCCGGCCTGCTGTATTCCTCCAGCTCCACACTGTGATATCTCTGACTCCAGCATCGGCATTACTTACTATCTCTAAGATAAGTAGGATGCCATTTTTGGCACTTCAAAGCAAGAGTAGAAGTGTTGAATGTTGAAGCAGAATTGTTAAAGTGTCAACTACAAACTGATAGCACATAATTTGCAGTTTTGAAATACATTAAGTAGAATCCAAAAGAAATTATGATGTCTTTAACGTGCAAGTGCAAAACATAATCTCAGGCAAAATGTGTGGAAAAATTCAGAGACCTCAACTGCTGCCTTTGCTCTTTCAAATTCTTCCTCTGTTGAGTGGTTCCGGGTCAGTAACATACTTCCCCAGCGTTGTTCCTTGGTCATCCGAGTCTGTAAAGGGACAGTGAAACATAATTTCTATTATGAAGAAGATAGCTCAACTATAAAAGACTTATGGGAAATCTTAATTGTTTTTAAATTTCTTCTAATTAAATGATCTGTTTTGTCAGTAAAAAATACAATACAGAACTACAAAGTTTTCTACTATGGAAGAAAGTATTCAACACACTTTCTTAATAGTGTTAAACTGGCTAGAGATGAAGTTTAAAGAAATCTGGAAACAGTAACAAACTGATTATGCACAGTCATTGCAGACTAGACAACAAAGCAAATAGCACGCTATAAACCGTCAGATCAGTGAAGTATAAAATAGATTTTCGTCTTCACTATACCTAGAGGCTGCCAAGTTCTCAAGCACGGCAAAGAGGTAAAGGAAGCAAAGGCCAATTAAGTACAACTTCAGTCCTGCCATATAGCCCAGGATTCATGATGGTTCACTAAATCAGCAGTGTTCAGCCTGCATTTGGTACAGGCTCAAACTTAGAGGGGAGAAAAAAATCTTCAATGTCTGCAAGGGATGCAGAAGAGATCCTGCTGCCGAACAATGGAGGTTTGAATAGATACACCAATTTATGACCATCACAATTTCAGAGATGTGCTGCAACCCAGCAGCAGCAAAAACATCCCAATTTCAGGAAGTGGGAGGGTAACTGCAGGTCCCTTAAGCCTGCAGCTTCATAGCCATTCTGTTCCCTTGTTCCCAGCAATGTCAGGCAACAGCCCTGTGCCAAGAAGGGAATTTGGGCAAGGTGTAGTTATACTAATGCCTTGTACAATTGCAGCAAAACATCCCCGCTCCTGTACTCAAATCCTCTCATTGTGAAGACTAACATACCATTTGCCATTTTCACTGCCTGCTGCATACTTTCAGTGACTGGTGTATAAGGACACTGAAGTCTCATTGCACCTCCTTCTTTCCCAATCTATCCCCATTCAGAGAATCATTTTCCTGCCCGTTTTTGCTACCAAAATGGATAAGCTTGCATTTATCCACATTATACTGCATCTGCCATGTATTTGCCCACTTGCTTGTTGAAATCACAATGAAGCTTCCTGCATCCTCCTCACAGCTCACGCTTCCACCCAGCTTTGTTTCATCTGCAAACTTGTAGATTTGACACATTGTTTTCTTTTCTTAATCATTAACATTTCATTAATAATATCTTCTCCATAAATTTTCTCAAAAACCTTCTCTAATATTAAAAAGCCAAAAGGATACCTGACCCACTGTAGGGGTATCTGAACCCCTGTAAAGGGTACCTGACTTCTCCCTAGCATACCTGAGTCCCTCTAAATGTTCTCAAGACCATACCCATTAGGGTACATTACCTCTCTAAAGTTCAGACCTGCTCTTAGCAGGTGTAACATGCACACTTCAGGTCCAATCAACAGGGATGTCAACATCCTATTTCACTAAAGGCACCTTGTTGTGTATAGAGCTACCTGTTGCCTCTGTAAAATGTGTGCAAGTTGTCCACATGTAAAGTTGCTCTGTTTAATGTTATTTCACTTTAATCTCAGGAATTTATTATAAGTGGACATCTCATCTAGGACATGAGTTACGTTATAATGTTCTTCAAGGTAGTACCTTACAGTCCCTGAGGCAATTGCAACTATTTTGGCACAACCCCTCGCTTTCTGATTTGCAGCCTGTCCTGGTGCCGGTCTGCTGCTGGAGATCTGCAGTAGGAACCACTGAGCTCATAAGGATCACCCGTCAAAACTGCTATCTGCCTGACAACATTTTCTTGAGAAGCCAATATTGCCCCAGAACCTCCACAGATACAACACAGCTTCCATCCCAAGTGGCAATGTGCCAGTCAATGCAGAGTTTGGCAGCTTCCCTTCTGCCCTGTCAGCAGGGATAAGCTTGGCAGCCACTCCAGGAATGCAGGATGCTTGTAGGACTGAACTCAACATGTACCCTGCCAGCTGCAACCCTTCCGCAAGGCACCAGCAGTACTTAGCAGGACTGAGCTTGGCTGGATCTGGTGTCTGAGGTAATGGGTGAAACAGAAGGGCCCCTGCAGCCATGAGGAGGAGTGGCACAAGATGGCTCTGGAGGTGGTGCCAACACGGGGCACCAAAGAACCCCAAACAGCACCACCAGGAAGTGGTTACAATGCAGCCAGGAACAAGCAATGGTCCCAGCCCGATGAACAAAGGGTCACTGATCCTGACCTCAGTCAGTGGCTCCCTCTCTCTCCAGAGTCAGAAGGACTTCTACAGAAGCTACTGTAATTAATTTGTTACATTTTTCTTTTGTACAGATATTCTAAGGTTGTTCAATTTATCATGCAAAAATTTAGTTATTTAAGGAACTATATTTCAACTTAGAGATACAGGTGTAGTGTTTTGTAGTGCAAGATAAGGGCCTTTGGAACCTAAAGCCAATTGGACATTAATTCCTATTCACTTAAAGTCGCAATTTTCAGGAATGTGGCCCAAACATTAATTGAGGACCCTTCTATGTAAAAACCTGGCCTGACTCCAACCCAGTGGCCCACAGGTTCACTAGCATCTGTGTCGAATATGTTTTGATTGTATCAGCCATTCAAAGTGCTGTGTGTGTTATGTTTGACCACACTTTATTAACATGAGGTAATTATAAGTTAATCCTGAATATTTGACTTTTATGTTGTATCTACATTGTTTACGATTTAGAAACATTTTCTTCATTGTTCAGTAAACAATAATTATTAAATAGTTATACGTTTACTCACAAGTTTGTATAAATTTTTTTGGCATTTCACTGCAACCATGGAATCCTGCAACATATTTTCTTGCCCTTGGTTAATCCACACATTTGTTTCCTTATAAGATTATTGTACGAAAAAAAAATCCAGCATGTTCAGAATTCCGATAACTTCGATCATAACAATTATGAATCAGGTATGGAAGGAAAGAGTTGTTGAATAAGTCCAAATACATCAATGGATTTTGGACTGCAGTACTTGAAATACTACTACATTCTTAGATTCTCACAGATCACTGAAGTAACATTTTGAGCTTGGAATTGCATCCACAATGTGCAATGGTAAGACTTGAAATTGGGCATTTCATGGAGTGTTCCACTGATTTCACTCCACTTAAGAGACTATGCCATAATATTTGTACGTTAAAAGTAAGACATAGAATATCAAAGTATATTTTCAAAATTCAGCCTTCTGTGCTAAACCCTGCATCAATTTTCTGGCTAGCTATTGCTTCCTATTGGGTTTGAAAAGGAGATGAATAGGATGGTTAAAATCTCTTAGATCTCATGCTGCATACAGTTGATTGGTTTAAGGCTTGCCTTGATCCTCACTTACACATTTTCCACCTGGAGTTAAAACCCATCCTTTTAATGTCAAAGATGTAAATGTCATAAACATCATATTCTTTCAGAAGTATCAAAAGTCCTTAAAGGATCATTGTCCCATTATTTTTTTACAGGGCCAAATATTTTAGCGTCGTAACATGTTTTAGTAATTCGCTTCCCTTAAATCACAGTAATATATTCTACCTGTGCTGTTTGCATTTGGTCCAAATCTGTCGAAGTTGAATGTAGTTCCAATGAATTTTTACCAGATGCAAGTTCAGATGGGATTCTATTTTCTGTAGACCTGAATAGAAGAATATTATTTTAAATCCAAAATAGCACATCCAGTCCTTATTGTGCAATGAAAGTGCAACCATAATTGGTTCAGTATTTTCATCAGACAGATGCTATTAGATCAGCTAAAATCTAATAGAAAAGGGGATCACAGACAATTGTGGAAGTAATGAGAAATGCTCTTTCAGTTCTGTGAAGAGTCAGAGAACTGTCTGAAGGATAATCAAGAATTGGTTACATGGCAGTCAGGCAAGAATTGACTAAAAGATAGATTTAGATCAATTTGTAATCTAATTATCAGTGGGGACTTGCAGAGATTGGAGTTGGGTCTATTATACTTTCCTATTTTTAATAATAACCTTGACGTACATGGTGTGGGCATGATCTGCAAGTTTGCAGATGATACTAAGATTTGTGTGAATTTATTTTCCTCACTTGCAGGATGATTTTTCCATCTCCAATTGCTCTTGAGTCACCTTTCTGAACCACCACAAACAATGTGGTGAAAGTGCACTAAGAGCTGTTTGGGTGGGAAATTCTCGGAGTTTAATGAAGGAATAGATTTCAAAGTCAGGATGTGGTGTGACTGAAAGGCAAGTTTGGAGGTGATGGTGTTCCCATGCACTTGCCACTCTTGTTTTGGAGGGATTAGGTCTAAAATCCTTGACAATTAGTTGTGGTGCATTCTGAAGTGTTATTCACTGGAGCTATGGTACACCAGTGGTGAATGGAGCGACCTGCGCTCACGCAGAAAAATTAAAATAATTGTACTACATTCCTGACTTTTGCCTAATAGGAAGGCTTTGGGGAGTCTGTACATGAGCTATTCACTGGGGGAAAGATAACTTCTAATCTGCTCTAGCAGTCGTATTATTTATGGTTAGTTAGGTCTCTGGTTAATGGTGGCTCCCAGATATTGATGGAGTGTGATTTCATGGAAATGACTCACTGGATGTCAAGGAATTAAACTCTCTCTTTTTGGAGATAGACATTGCTTGTCAGCCACCCCTAAGGTCATGCCCCCACTTTAACCCACATCCCACGCTTCTTCAACCTGGATCTACACATCTTCACCGAACCTCCTGGTTCAGGACTGAACTGGATTTTTTGAGGTAGTATGGCTGCTTATAGTTCTAGCAAGGGTCACTACTCCCAACTGGTGCTATTGGGCTTAAAGAGCTACTGGCCATTGATTAGTTGGCATCTCTATAAGGCTCTCCACAGAAAAAGGGCAAACGCCTCATCTTTTAAGTTAATAATGCTGCTCCCAGAATTAAATTGCTGTGAGGCAGACATAAGTATCATGGGCCCATGACATTTTAGCAAGGAAGGCAGTAAACATAGTGCACTGAAACATCCAGGCTATGACTTCTGGGAGAATTGCACTATATTATGCATGTGAACAAGGCAGATACTCAATATTCATACAGCATTAGGGAAAATCATTCAAGTTGAAGGAAGAAAAAGATCTAGATTTTCTAGCAATTGGTACATAAGCAGTGCTGTGAAGCAATAGCTACAGAAAACAAGGTTGACAGGTTGTTCCAATTTAATTTTAGGGAGGCTGAAGGGTTACAGTTTTAATTTGTGCAAGGCCAGATCGAGGTTAGATGTCAGGAGGTGAGTTTTTGGCCATAGGATATTGTGGAACAGATAGTTTCCTGTAATGGTTGCTGGTTCAGTTAGAAAATGGAAGGCTGGAACTCTGTCCCACAAACAGTTATGGGATACTGAGCTGACTGTAATGTTAAAGACCAAGTTTAACAGATTTTGGTTGGGTAAAGATATCAAGGGGTATAAAATTATGGCTTGTAAATGAAGTAGAGAATTGCAAAGATTCACAAGCTTTAAGTGAAGAAATATCACCTCATTTAATCCTAAATTATTGACCCCTTCTCCTGATAATGCCACCTTTTCCTAGATTCTCCAGTTTGGGAAAATGCTCTTTCACTGCCCCCTGTGTCAAACCCTTTCATAATCTTGCATGTTTCAATGAAATCACCTCTCACTTTTCTAAATTCGGGGCAATATAGACCCCATTTCACAATCTCATTGAGTGGTGAAATTGGCTACTCCTTGATATGCTTAGGAACATTTGATAGCAAGTTAATCAAATCATATGACAAGGGGTGTTTCATATATCAATTGAATTTTAATAATACTGTAATTATGCTTTTCAAATACCCAATTCAACAAAAGGGAAGGTGTATACTACATTGGGATGGGTCTTGTTCCTTAGATCACTAAAGGTGTTTTACTGTGTTATTCACAAAAAGGACAACACAATGGTTCAAAGAATTCTGCCACTCAGTTTTTAAGATGCAGTTGGAACTCTGGGAGTTATTTCTCCTACTAATTAATTCTCAATTGTTTCAAGAAATTGCTGAACAGAACTGCAAATGGTTTAGAAGCTTTTATTCTATAACACTTCGCATAGGTTATGGAAGATTGGACATTGTACCTTCTTCAACATGCCACTTCTGTAAATTGTTTCCCTTGCAAATACTTTTAACTCAATAATTTTATATTATATGTAATTGTGACATATTATTTCTTGCCTTCAAAAGGTGCTTGAAGCATGTGGTCAGTAAGTCATGGATTTCATTATATCAGTTCAGGTATTGATTCTATGTCTTATTTCGTAAATCGTAAAGAATAACAATGCAGTTTTCCAGTCATAAAAGGCATGGTCTGCTGTGTCCCCATGAAATCAGAAACATTTGAACTTTTCTGCACAATTTAGCTTGGTTTTTGAATGTATACAATTAATAATCACAAATTAATAAAGAAAGCTTATTTTATTAGATAGTGGAGTATTACTGAAATACTATCTTGCATAAAATTTTAAATTTTTTTTAGGACTTGTTACAAGGAAAGCAATGGGAATATTGTTCATGAAGTTGAACATGGAAGGCTGTTACTAGCAATGAAAGAGAAAAATGAAGGACCATGAAGCGTGGAGAAATCAGCAGAATACCAGCCCCTGTGCAGATCACCATGACAACTCTGATTAACATACAAGTTGATCTTTTTTACCATAAGAACTCCTGTGAAGTAGTCCTGTTGGAACGTCTCCTTTCTGGTACCCATTGATCCTCAGGGGTTTTAGCACTCTGTAGATTTACTTCTTCCCATTTCTCTAAATGTGGAGGCATACTGACTGAAAGTAGAGAAGAAAATTTGTTATTTATGAGAAGAAAATTAAATATTTAGTTCTATTGTGCTGCTGATCAAAGTATAAATTCGGCAGGCACCAGGTAAAACTCAGATCTTTCTTGAACCTTATGTAAGGAGTTGGAACTTTTATTAATTTTGAATAAAATGACTTCCCTACTAATTAAATATAAGACAAAAGATTATTTTCCATTATAATTTATTGATGGTCAGCTGAACAACGTTGTTGATGTAAGAAGTTGTAGGCATCCACTGGTCTTCTGAAATTTTTATATTTTACTTTAAATTTGTGTCGAACAACCCAAGAACTTCCTTCCTGTCATTTCATTAGACATTTTTGTTAATAATTATTGCATTTCATTTATATGTTCCTTGATAGGAAACCATTTAAAATTTAAAATGACAAACCATTTACAACATCGTAATAGTAGAAGAGCTAAACAAAAGATTGGTACAAATTAGGCCATCCAATTTGTAGCTTGAAACTAACAATCAGCTTTAGTTGTCTTCATCAGAGGTATCACCTAGTTCTTACTTAGTCACACAAAGCACAATGGTCCAGGAAGGATGAATGAATGGTAAAAAATCAGTGTTTTCAAGAGACCTTCATGTGCTCCAGCTGTCTTAAAATGCTTCACAACCAAATGTGGGTGTACCTACAGAACATGGCCTGTAGTAGTAATGGAAGGTAACTCATCGCTACCTTCTCCAGGGCAACTAGCATCAGATAGTAAATGCTGGCCAGCCAGCGACATCCATATCCCACGTGCAAATAAAAGAAATTACCTCTGATGTGTGGTTGCTTTGTTTTATATGCAAACACAGCTGATAAGTAAGGCAACATGAAATTATATAAAATATTAGTTTACTTATTCTGGTCATGGTGGGGAGGGAGGAGACATTGTCAGGGTACTGAGAAAACTCTCTCTTTGTAAAGTGATGCTGTGGGTTAAATCAAAACAGGTCTTGATCCGATAATCTGGACATGTTGCACTGAATGGCAGCATTTATCTTGGAAAGACTTTGTAGTCAGAATTATGTAAACACTTAACAATGCAGCAGTCCCTAGTGCTGCACTGAAGTATCAATCAATGTTCATACTTAAGAGTCTCTCAAGAGTGCTACAACTGAGCTTATCTGATACTCAATCAGTAATTACTATCTCTGGGAAAGGAGAATGAAGAACCAACATCCAATTATACCTTTTCCATAAAAGCACATTTCTTGACATGCAGCACTAATATTAGGTGCAAAAATCAGCTTCATAGACTACTCTATCCTTAATACAACATAGAAGATGAATTGGAAAATGGGGAACCTAAAAAGGGAAAAGAAATGTGGTGAAACGTGCATAAAATGTAAAAAGGCAAGCATCCGTAATACTGTGTATTATTATAACAATAAGTAACAGACAAAAAAATCCCTATAAGGACTTTAATGAAGAAAGATATAATGGCTCACTTTTGACAAAGTCTTTGGTCATACTCACTGCTTTTGCCACCAACACCTGTTCTAATGCTTAAAGAACAGGTGCAACTAAAATGGCAATGCTCTGCAAAGTATTTTCTATGATGTAAGAACAATATAGTAACATTTACATAGTTGTAACACACAATGCAAATTATTGTTGAAAGAAAGTGGTAGAAGTAGCAATATTAACAGTAAGTTGCATTCAATTCTTCAGATCAAGTCAAAAATTAGAATCAAATCAAAGCAGTAAGAACAGGTAATGCTACAAAATCTAACTTAATCACCTACCTGACCTACAGTTTCTTAATAAAAACCTGAACAGAACATGTTTTCACTGGAAAAGACAATGAGGTAAAAAGAAATCACCACTTTCATACTGAACTAAGACTTCTTAATGATTATGTTGAAAAAGTGTCTTAGTATCTTCTGTGGTTGATGTATGCTTCACTGAAGCTGTAATTGAGGCCAAATGCACAGGAAGGTGGAATGTTTGTTTGAGAAAATAAAATCAGAAATAAACAACAGGTATTTAAAGGAACCACCTAAACTGAAGTAGAAATTGGCTCTTAGTACATCTACTTTCAAATTGGAAAGCAGGACAAAAAAAAACTACTTTGGGGCATTGTACTTGCCTAAACAGGGCCACTTCATGGTTTTCACACATTTTAGTGGATGTATATATGCTAATTAGGGTATTTACATCTGTTAAAAGTGCTCTCTAATTTGTTTATGTTGTGCTTAGCAGATGCCAATCTGAATTCTTCGGTTGGCAACTATTTTCCTGACTCCACAGTGGTGCTAAACAACTTCGCCCCTTTGTTCACCTTCTGTAATATACAGGGTGTAAATGCAGGGTGGCACGGTGACTCAGTGGTTAGCAGTGCTGTCTCACAGCACCAGGGATCTAGCTTTGATTCCAACCTTGGGCGACTGTCTGTGTGGAGTTTGCACAGTCTCTCTGTGTCTGCATGGGTTTCCTTCGAGTGCTCCAGTTTCCTCCCACAGTCGAAAGATATGTAGATTAGGTGATGCTAAATTACCCAGAGTGTCCAGGGATGTGTAAAATGCAGGGTTTCATAGAGTAGGGGTTTGGGATGCTCTTTGGACAGTTGGTGTGAACTCAATGAGCCCATTGGCCTGCTTCCATACTGTAGGGATTCTATGATTTTATAAACAGAGACAGACAGGCTCCAACAGCTAGTACATAAATGTTCCCAAGACCTAGGCCTCACAGTTCGGGATACAGTTTCAAATTAAGAGGTCTTCCATTTAAGACAAAGAGTAGAAGGAATTTCTCCTCTGAGAAGTTCATCGATCTTTGAGACAGGAAGTTCTGGGGAATAATGGAGACTATGATGTTTATAGATTCAAGACTGGGTTAAACATATTTTTGATCTAAAAGGGTGTCAAAAGTTATGTACGAGTGAGGAGGAAGTGGGGAATTAGTTGTTCAGGGATCATAGAGGAAAGTGGAATTAAAGTCACAATCAGATCAGGCATGATCTTAAAGAACAGGTCCAAAGAGTCATATGACCTCCTGCTTCTATTTCTTATTTTTCTCATTTGCCTCTCTTTGGCTCCACCAAAAATGGTGTTGAGGTCTTCTGGCATCATCAATATCATTTTAATCAGCTAAACAGATACTGTTCAGCCCATCTACTCTGAGGAGCTAATCATTATGACATTGGCCACGGGACACTAAGCTCTACTCCATTTCAGGTTGCACATCCTTCTTTCCTTTTAATGGGGTCTTGAAAATTCATTAAAAAAAATTAGTGACTCAACAACGGGAAAAACTTGAAGTAAAAGCCTATCAGAAATAGTTCTTTCTTCATAAAATTAGGCCCTTGGTTTTTTAACATTTAGGGACATGCCCAAAGAAAAACACTTGGACTGCAAGTCAATGTTGTTTGAGCCTGTCTAATTACTAGATTATAAGCTGGATAATATATCACACACTGGAGTGAATTTTAAGGTCTCCAATCAATGAGTTTGAAGGGCATGTAGAATGCAGCAAGTGGCCTACCTGATGTTTACCCACCTGCCCCAGACTACCTAAGCACGTGTATTTTGCATCTGATCTTGACTTTTTTTTCACACATCTAATATTGCATAATGGGTTTTCTATTGACTTCAAGAAATACTAAGTTCTCTGGCTTTCTTCTCATTCTCGTTTATGTTACTTGAATTACCATATGAACACATACCAATGGCGGCTTCACTGGAGATCGTTCACATATTTCATTTCAGTGTGAGGTTACTGAGGTCTCTGCACATTTTTTTTAATAAATAAAGCTCGAAATGTTGATAAAGTGGTGAGTGAAATTAATTATATCTATGGATGAGGAAACATTAACAATCCATCACAGCTGCTTCGACATAGAGTGCATTTCCTATCAGAATGCATGCAGCAGGGGAATCCATGTCAGCCTTGGTAAATTGACAATGATTCATGATGAAAGAGAGTGGCAGACTGTTATTTTTGAGTAATATAAGGCATTACATATTGTAACCGAAGTTTTCTTTTCCTTCTGTGCTGACACCCATAATGTTGGTGGGAAAAATTAATTCAGAATATCAACGAGGATAAACAGATATCAACTTTGGACATAAAGAAACGAGGTGATTAAATTTCTAGGAAAAGCAACGGGATAGCCAGTGGCATACCAGAATAATTGCTGGAATTTTTCATGGAGACAGTGACCCTAAACTCCTGGCTGAAAAAAGTCACGAACAAGTCTGCCTCTGCAGTCATGATCAGCTTTTGTAATTGTCAGGTTTCTGCTCCCATGTGAGAGTTTGCTTCATCTGCCATGGCTGCCCATCGATCAGAGAGATGGCAGGGCTCGGCCGGTCAGAGAGGCGGCAGGTCTCCGCCGGTCAGAGAGGCGGCAGGGCTTGGCCGGTCAGAGAAGTGGCAGGGCTTGGCCAGTCAGAGAGGCGGCAGGGCTCGGCAGATCAGAGAGACGGCAGGTCTCTAGTGCCAGTGATCCCACTCTGAACACCCAACCTGGGAATAAAGGTCAGGGCCTTTGTGTATTTCCAGCATTTTATGATTTATTGCAGTCTTCCAGAATCCATGGTATTTTAAATTTTCACTCTCAATTTCCATTGTTTGTTCTAACATCTATTTGTTCTAGTAAAAATAGATATGCAAGTTAAATGTAATTGCCCTATTGCATCAAAAAGTTATAGTGTTGGTAGGGAATTTAACCAAGGATGTGTAAAATACAGAACATTAGCTACTGCACTACACTAGCTGGAAAATATGAAATGTGTATCTATCATAAATTGATAGCTGATTATAAGTTCTCATGAACGCAAAATATCTCAGTCCTAATTATTCTATAGACAAATATGATGTGCAATTTTTCTTTACATATAAATATTAATCTTGTTGATGTAATGTTATGAAGAATAAAGCTTGCGTAGGGGAAAAAAAATTCCTATACTAAAAACCTGCAGATGATGGAAATCTGAAACAAATTCAGAAAGTGTTGGAAACCTCAACAGATTAGACAGAATCTGCAAAGAGGAACGACAAGTTATCAAATAAGCCACTGCTAAAATTAAATGTAGGATGATAGGTTTTGTATTACTTCTTTCATATCTAGTGAAAACAGAAATTTGTATAAAATGTCAATATATAGACAAACGGCAGGAAAATTGTGAAAATTATATTAATGCCTACAGACTAAAATTAAATACTTCAGGATTCATTCAATTCATACCAGCATCCAGGGATGGTCTATGTGAGGCTTTGACATTCTGAATATTTTGTTCAACTTCAACTTTGATTAGCTCAGTGTCATCTTGCTCTTTTCTAAAGGAAGCAGGTTTAGCTGCTTCATTTCTTGATGCAACATCAGATTTCTTTGTCTTATTACTGCTCGTCATAGCTGGCTCCGTAAGGTCCAAGAGATCCAAAGCTGGTGACAAAACTACAATATTAAATGGTGTTATTAGAAGTAAATGAACAGCAAAGTAACCTTAGTAAACTTTATTTACATTGGTCTTTTTTGTAAATGGCCTGATGATAGCATTTACTTTCCCTGTAGACATCTTTACCTGCCAGTAAGACGTATTGTAACTTCATGCACATTTTATATGCAATTATTATTTGAAACAATGGAAAACTGTCTACAGTCTGACATTTGGGTATAATTAGTGAACAGGACTCCTCAACAGCAGGATGAAGTAGAGACAATGTCAGTTATCTGCAGTTGCTACATAAAAAATGGGGATGAATTACTGGTGTTTTAATATTCTGCATATAGGTAGGTCACCTCTAACTAAATTCAATCTAAATACTAATTGTGATTCTGTGATAGCACACTCCTAATGAGGAAGCTATGCTCAGAAGGACTGTGGGACAGAGAAAAGATTCTAACCTTGCAGTCCTAATTCTTCAACCTGTTTCCTGTAATTACAGATTTCCAGATCATCAAATTGCTTCTCGTCAGAAAACAAAAGAACTTTTACAAACAAATAAAAGTGTTAAATGAACGTTGTTCTTCTGATTGGTTACGGGAGCGCATACTTCAAATATAATGTCATGCTTACTAATCTCTGTAGTCTTAACTACAATGATACTGCACTTATCTTAATTGCAACATGTACCTATTGCAAATCCATAGTACAGTAATAATGCTTATTGAAATATTCTGAGCTGCAAGTCATCTAATTCTTTACCTTTTCCCTCAGTCCTGTCAGTTACCTTGAGGGAAAAGGTTAAAAATTGTATTTCTCGTTTTCGAAGATTAGGGTTGCAATTTGCTATTAGGCAGTCCCATTGAGGCAGGCATGTGGTTCAGAAATGTGCTGCACCCTCATTCAAATGATCATAGCATTCGGCTAAGGTGTGACACATGCTGCTGACTAGCTGAACGGTCAACAAGAGGCCTAGCAATATACATAGCTAGCACACGTTCCAACTATCAGCACCTCTTTAAGGCAAGCTTCCTCTGTTGAAGGGGAACTATGTTCAGCATAGAAGATACTGCTGACTGCCTTTAGTGAAAGTAGTTTCAAGGAAAAGAAGCTCAAATGGCGCAACAAGGTAAGTGAGGCCGATCTTATCAACTGCTACCAGGTGGACCGAACTGGAAGCAAAGCCAAATGGCAATGGCTGGAATCAACTGCTTTCAAATCTTGAACTCAGTTATCAATTGAGAGAAGGCAAAGTTGGATTGGCCATATTCTGAGGCATGAGAATTTGCTGAAAGAGGTGTGAAAGAGGTGACTTGGGATTTACACAAGAGGAAAGAGAGAACGATAGCATTAGATAAGTTGAAATTGAAAATGGGAGAATCTATGAGTAGCTAAAGAGGAAAGTGTAAGACCATGAAGTGTGGCACTAAACTAACTCTATAGCAGAGGTTACTGAGCTTTCTTTTGTGTTTGTTTTGCCAGACATCTAGCACATGTAAACAATTAATAATTTGCTGATTAAATTTAAGAGTTGTTGAAACTAAATGATTCAACCTTAAGTATTTTATTCATGAAGTGAATGTGACTGCTCCATATCCAGTTTAAAGAAAACTGTCGAGAACTAACACATCTGCGAGAAACTAACTAGATATTGATCTTTGTTTTTAAATTGAATGTCCTATTAATATCACTTCTTCAATGTTTTTGACAATCTTGAATAGATTAAATATCTTACAGTCAACTTTAGTTGTAAATGTTATATGGACCATATGTAAGAAAGTGTTGATTTATATTTTTACATTATGTATTATGTAGTAGTTTTGAGTATATTATTTATGCATTTTATATTTTTAGAGCTAATGGAAAGAAAAATGGGACATGATGTATTTTGACCAGCTAATCCCCAACTGCTTGTTTTGGACTTTCATCCAAGCTCAATTTCACATTAGGTTGTTTCTGTGGCTGCAGGCTTTAGAACATGGATAGAAGATTAGTTTCAAGAGATCTAAAGCAGAAGTAAAACTATTATACAGGAGGCTGAGAGGCTGAAAACCTCTTATATATTACTAACTATGAGAGATTATGCAAGAGAATAGAAGACACTTTTTTTCTTACTTAAGAGGGGGATGAGGATGTGGAATGCACTAACAGAATTAATGATTGAAAAGGAGACCATACTAACATTTAAGAATAGTTTAGGAGTGACTGAAAGAAAAGGGAATGAAAGGAGCAGAGGGAGAGTGTGGGTGCAGGAGATTGAGATTGCTTTATATGTGTGAGATAAACACCAACACAAGTCAGTTAGTCTGAATGCCTTATTCTGCTGAACAGTGATATCAGACTGAAATGTTAACTGTATCTCTCGCAACAGATGTTGCCAGACCTGCTGAGTTTTTTCCACCATTTTCTGTTTTTATATTCACCCGAATGTCCTGTTAACAATTTTTATATTATTTATTTTTAAATACTCTATTCTATTGTCAAATTATATTATAAAGATACAAATTTTCAATAATTGAGGACTACTGGTATAAAAATCACAATGATATTAATATAACATTACAGAGATTTCTTAATTTCATAACATTTAATTCCAATTTCCGTAAATAACATCTAATGTTATTGCATATAAATCCTAAATAAATCAGAATTACCCTGGACTGTAAGTGAGAAAAATCCTTTTAAATAATTATCAAGATTCGTTTCTTTTCTTTGATATACTCAGGCTAATGTTCACCTGCTGTGTTTGATGTTGGTGTACGTGAAACTCTGTCGGCTTTTGCTTCAAGTAGAAAATCATCAATCGAGGGGCTCAGGAGGGGTCGACTCTCCTGTTGTTCATTCACCAGCTAAAATTAGAAATAAAAGAAGTCATAAGAGGAGGATGAAAGGGAGTCCTCAAATTATATTTAAAAATTTTGCAATGAAAATGTAAGTCAATATTAAAGACAGCCAATTTGTACAGAAGCCCTGGTTGTGTGACCTTTCGAAATGTCTAGCTTCAAACCAGCTAGGTTAAATATTTAATCAATGTGGTTCAATATAACTTTAAAATCTGCTACATGTTTTTTGGTTCAAGCCATTTTCTAGTTTTGTAAACAAAGGACATTTTTCTGATAACTTGTGTTAAACGTAATCTGTAGCCAGTATTATAAAAACAAATATAACTGAAGCCTCATTTAAACAAGAAGTAATGAACCTTCAGTCAAAGTGAATGATTGAACTAGAGGAGGAAGAAATCTATCTAAAATTGATACGGCCACTGGTGAATTGGAGTATGCATGTAAGTTTTGCAGGTTCGAAGTCATGCTGGTTGATTTGTTACATTGGCTGACACAGCAGAGAGACATATCTAGGCTGGCACATTGGAAATACTTTCAAATATCGGAATAGGAATTGCATAGAACAAGAGTGGAAACTATTAATGAAGAACAAAGTTGATTTTGTTTTTAGCAGTTTAATTTGTCCCCTGTGTCATCGCATGGAGATAAAAATACACAATTTAATATTATCAACTAACAGATTGTCTTAATTATCTGTAATTTGATTGCTCTCTATATCAAGTTATTTTCTTCTTTAGTCTCTACTATTTAACTTGAAACTCAAAAATACTTTTAAGCACATTTAACATTCTCATAATTAGCTTGGGAAAATTCACATTTATCTTTGCCTGTAATAAATGTGTTTTTAAATGATGCAACCATCCTTCAACCTGAAAAGGACACCTCCTGATTGAAATTTCCATTTCCTGCTTCAGCCTTTTATTAACCTATGCTGTGGCTAAATTATTTTTTTTTAAGTGGGGAAGGAACAAGCAGCTTAGGCTAAGGCAAAGATACTGCCAGAACTCAAATTAAGAGTAGTAGAAGTAAAGGGATTCAAATTGGGAGGAAAAACCACATAAGTGAAAGGATTGAGCGGGGCCTGTATCTTTTGAATCAACCTGTTGAGATGCTATTAAAAAGCTTAGAAGCAGGTGGAACATTAACCACGGTCTCCCGGTCCAAGAGAAGAGATGGTACCACTGTGCCACAAGGGGTCCTGTTAATCAATTGATTGAGCAAATTGCAAAATGTGTGTCTGAGAATGCCGAGTGCTGAAAGGGATGCTGTCAATTGATGCCATGTTGTATTTCTGGGAGTTGTGGTCTGGTTGCTTGTTTACACTGTATTGGTGTCACTATGCTCTGGTTCTTGGGAATTGCAGTCCGATGTTTTGTTTCAGAATGCTCAGCCTTAAAGGCAAATGGCTGGTGAAGGGTGTGCTAATGTTTATGGTGTTTAAAGCCAAAATTGATTCTACTTTCACCACATCTTTGTGTGTAAGGATTTCAGCATTGTAAGCATTCGCTGCACTAAAAGGTTTTTCCTTACGATGTCATTTGTTTTGCCAATTACTTTAAATCCATCTCCACTGGTTCTCAATATTTCTGTCAATTGGGACATTTTCTCTTTATCCACACTTTTGGATCTGTCATGATTATGAACTCCTCCACCAATCTGCTCTCAACCTGTTCTCTGAGAGGCAGAAGCCTCTTCTTCAATTTTTAACTCACTTATAGCTCCTCTGAAATTTCGCTTGTTCTTTGCCATGTAACAGTGGTTTTGAGACCTGGTTGAACATTTATATCAAAACCCATTTGCACACTGGTTTTTGAACAGGATGCACATGACCCCTTGCTATGACCATCTGAGAAGGGTAAATTGGTACCCCTCTGTTCAACCTCCTCATTGGAAGTTTAAGCTCTTTTTGCATGATTTATAGATCTCTTCAATTAAAAATGTATTTAACTATTTTTGCTATCAGCAACAAGGAGCTAATCAAAGAGCTTTTCTTGATTGTTATTTATTAATTGTTAAATCTGAGAAAGATAATAAAACATGCACATCATACGTTCTACATGCAATCATGGATCCACATACTCACACATATATATACAAAGTTCAAGGGAAATAATGTCCCATGTAAAGGAAGAAAGAAGAATATAGAATTTAAAGTCTTTCACTTGTCTTTGAGGTGTATGTTTTAATCTGAGGCTAATGTTGCTAGCTAGTTTAGTGAAAAAAATAAGTTTTAGCAAATCTTGTAGTTATTCAAGTTCTCGGTTCCTTGATGAAGTTACACGATAGTTGTTTTTGTGAGAACTGGGTGCCAACTTCTTCAGACAGACAAATTGGAGATTGCAACTTCTCTTCAATCACCTCCTCAAAGAGTTCACAGAATCTCCCTTGAAATTCTGGTTTCAGTATATATTTCCACCAGGATCTTGGGATGGATTTATCCGTGATAGCCATTGTTAAAATATCTGGTACTTTGACTTGGTTGACCATTCTGAGGAAGGGTCACTGGACCTGAAACATTAACTCTGCTTTCTCTCCACAGATGATGCTTGACCTGCTGGCTTTTCCAGCAATTTCTGTTTTTGTTGCATTTGTTAATGTCTTCTTGATACGGTGGTGTTTTGATGTGTGGAAACTTGCCTTAATGGGAACAATCCATCTTTATAAAAAGTTTAATGGTCCATTCTCAGAATTCACTTGTTATCTATTGATATTAATGAGATTTTGGGGTTGGGGACTGCGTGGAAGGCAGAGTTTGAATCTCCTCTTTGCATATCTTTCAGACTGAAGTCTTTGCTCTAGCAATAACTGTAGTTGAGAAGTTTTGTCACCATGCAGACACATTTGAAGGTCTCACTGTGAGATATATATTCCAGAGGATGGATTTTAATGGACAGGTAACTACTCCTTGGCTATCCTTTTCAGGATACTGCAGTCAGTCCCAACCACTTCATGCAACATACCTGAGAGTTTGGCTACTTTCCGGTGACTTTGCAGGCCATTTTAAAATGTCCCAGTTAATTTTTAATTCATTCTCTTTTCTCGCAATTCTAAGGTCCAGGATTTTTAATTTTGTTACTGAAACATCAAAGATTAATTGCCCATATTTTATCATGATATCCTTTAAGGACTACAGATTAGGTCATGCCTAGCATATAGCATGCACCATCCATCCATGTGGCATTGAAAATGGGTATCCATAATGTGCAGATTTAGTTTACTCAGATTAAGTTGTTATTATCTGAAATGCAATACTTGAAAGGATAGTGGAAGTGGATTTTATGAAAAGCGGATCAGATACTAGTAAGGGGAAAAGATATGGGGGCTATGGGGAAAGAACAGGGGAATGGGACAAACTGGATAGCTCTGTCTTAGATCATCTCCTGTGCTGTATAATTCCATGATACTTCACTGGGACATGCATCAGGGGATTTAATTGGAAACTCTATGCTAAAGAATTAAAATATTTAATCAATAAAAAGAATAAATAACAAATGAAACTAACTAGATGATGTGTTAGTGGATTATCATTTTGCCTTTTATAAAACTGTCTGTAATTGTCCCAAAAATAGCTACATTTTACTGGCTAATGCTGAGTTGAAAAGTTAACATTGTAGCTTGCTGCTCTTCGATGTCTTTGATAAAGGGCGGAATTTTCCTGACAGACTCAGAGATTTTAGAAAGGTGAGCTGGGGAACTTAATAGGGCGGAAGGTCAAAGATTAATTTCTAGTGGGTTAAGTTTTTGCCGCTAAATTGTCAGGATCTTTTAGCTGGATGAGCATTGTCAATCTCTCTGTTTTGTGTTAATTAGAATATAATGAATACTCATTAACACCTCTACCCACTGGAATTATAATAACGGGTGCAATCCTGTTAACCAAAACAAGAAACACCCAATGTACATATGAGATGTGCACCTAGCTGAGTAAACTTCTTTCTTCAAGTTTCTTTAGAATCAAGGTGTCCATTTGCGTAAATGCTTTCAGTGTTAAGGTTGAAACCTCTCCAAGGTGATAAGCTCATGAGAAGTTTCAGTCATATGCAATCTGGCTTGATGTATTTAAATGCTTAAATTGTTATGGGTGAAGCACAACCAGGTCAACAGGCCTGCCCAAGCAAGGCAGCCATACTGGCTAATGCCAGCATGTCTAATCGGGGCAAGCACGTGAGCCTGAAGTCAAAAGGTGGCCCAATGCAGGAAAAGCATCTTTTGCAGTTGTGGATTTTTTTTTGAATGTCAACCTGTTCAGAGATGTTATTACACTCCTCTGAAGCAGGTGGAACTTGAAACAAGGTGTCCTGGCTCAGAGACTGGGACACAACCACTGCACCACCAGTCCCTGTCTTTGTGTACTCTTCCCATGCAAGTCTTTGGTGAAAAGCTAGCAGATGTGTGGGTTCTCCCAGTTGAGATGAAAGGACAGTGACCAGATGGTGCTTTAGCTGCTGAGTGTTTTGGCTCCTTTTATATTTTAAAGATGAATTCTCGCAGATATGCGATAGACAGTAGCACTGTGGTGATAATCGTGCTATATTGGAAGTTGCAGTGAAATGACAGACACTGATTGCACAGGTCACATCTAATAGAGATGCCTGGCACCCAACCTCCTGTATGATAGTTCTCCATGGTATGGCAACGTTAAAACTTTTCACTGTATATTTTTGTAAAAATACATGTGATAATAAGTTGCTATTCTATTCTTTGTAGTGGTACATACAATGCAATGCAGATATACACTCAGGAGTATGAAGCATCGAGTAGATTGCAGTATGTAACCTGGCAGAATGCAACAGATCAATCATCCTCTTAGGGCACTGGAGCCAGATTCTTTCCAGGAGCAGGGAATGGGAGGTGATAGTAGTTTGCATGTGAGTTGTTCACGGAGATAGTGATACATTTAAAAGAGCAGCTGCTTTTATTCAGAAGTAATTCCTGTTACCCAGGTTTCTGCAACATGACTAGTAGGCTTTACAAATTTGAGAAAAAAAAACTAATCTTCCTGGGGT